GTAAGCAGTTACTGTGGCTGTAACTACATTTAAATATTTTTGCTTTGAATGCGCGTGTGCTTTTTATATTGCATGATGCCGTTTTTTGAGGGTTTCTTGAAATGCATACGTTGTGAGTTCATACGATTTATTACTATTTTCACAATTAGATTAAAATTAGTCATTCAGAAAGTTCAGAGTCTGCAACGTTGTTCAACTTGTTCTGATTTTCCGAAAAAGAAAATGCACACGACGAATGTGCAGTTTTTCGATGTTTGGACGAAAAATTATTCGTCCATTTGATCAGTCCCAAATAATAATAAATTATTATTATTCATAATAAAACACAGTTATTATTCATTATAAAAGACAATTATTACTAACGGCGACCATAATAGCTACAAAAAATCTGCTTCTTGTACCACCAATCTAAAACATATTCCCGATTATTTTTACTTCTGTCCCGAAATTTGACCCACTGGACTTGGCAACACTACTTTAGTCCCCCCGTGACGTAATTTTTTTTTACTTTTGCTTAATATTTAGAGAGCTATTTAAAGGAACGGTTGAATTAATTACGTAAAATGGTAGATTACATTGGTTATTGATAACTACTATAGAATATTAAAAACAAGGTAACTACAATGTAAAATGAATATAATATTAAGGTGTATTACCACTCAATTTGTTTACCTCAAACTAATCTATCTAAAAGTCAACATTCTGATTAAAGAGCTAAAGGTTAAAGCAGGAATCTTATTTATAGGTAAGCTTGGCCTCAATCTTAAACAAATAAACTAATTCAGTTACCTTGGAAATAGGTTTTTAGTTAACGTTACCATTAAGAAATAACTACATAATTTTATTATAAGTAGTGTCTTAAGACTTGGTCGTTTTTCTATTTTAAGTTATATGAGATTATGATTGTTTAATAAGGTGATTTATGACGTCATTACTGAACTGGGTTGATACCAACATTTTACTTAATTCTACCGTCAGTAACCCGCGCACCCACCACTGTGTTCCAGTTTGAAGAGTAGAAGAGCCAAAAAAATACAGAATGTGAGGCATTTCATCTTATTCTTTAGAGGCGACAAAGCATCAGTGTTGGTCTGTTTTATTTGAATTGGACTCAAGTTATCCATGTTGCTGTAGCCACTTATATTCTGACTGAGTTTTGTTTTCGTTTATCGCTCTAAGGTAATTTCATCACCTGTTTATCCACCAATAGTGGTGGAATAGATAATAAATTAAATGTGACAAATGTATTTATGATACGTCAAAAGCATTAAACTTTGTTTGCCATCTAATTACGTAAGCTAGAAAAGTATCGGGTAAGAGGACTGATATTGTAGTGGATCAAATCGTATTTATCATTTAAAAAAGTGTGTGGAAATTATAAGCCCTAAAAAATAATTTTTTGAGAAAATTTAGATCGCGACTAGTTCTTAAGTAAGCGTTCTTGGACCTTTTTTGTTTACAATTTATATAAATGATTAACGGAAATCAATTACATTCCCATTCATTTTATTGATCTGATTGTAAAGAATAAACATGAAAAATTCATACAATGCGCAACAAATGATGTCATTTCACGGTTACTTGAGAATAATTTAAAGGTTGATATCGCCAAAACCTGTTATGTACAATTCTGTAGTAATACTGGAAACAAACTTGATCTTGACATAATGTATGATTGTAAGTAATAATTTTCGCATGTCGGTTGTGGTAAGCATGTGGACTTACAACATGCAATTTTTTACTTTTAATATACCATGTTTAAGCTAAAAAAAAATCAATTATTTCTTCAATTTTATATGGAGCTACACCTTCAGGTATAGCCTATAAAATATAAAATATGTAATGATATGTCTATGATGTAATGCAAAGCGGTAACATTAATTGCGGATGCTATGCGGATGACAGCACTGGTGATGCTCTGTACACACACACTTGTGCCTGAAGTCGAGTCTTTGCTGAACAAAGTCTCGGATTGGAGGCGACTAAATCTAGTCCAGTTTAATCTTCTAAAAGAAACCCTAAACCTTTGGCCCTTTTTCTATAAAAAATGTATTACTATACTCTGTATATATATATATATATATATATATATATATATATATATATATATATATATATATATATATATATATATATATACAACACGTAACATAATTAACGCACTTTGAGAAAGTAGTTTGTTCAGAATCGTTTACTATATCGATTCCTATCATTTTAATGTAGATAATTTTTATACCAAAAATAATTTAAACTACGTAAATTACAGTCACACTAAATCTGTACAGTCAAAACAAACTGAAATGGACCGTAACTTAAGGCAATAAGACTTTTAAGAGTGCAGTTTTATTTGTATAATTACTAATTCCGTCATTTAATAAAAATAAAGAAAAATTAACTTTATTTCAAGCATGTTAAAGTCTTTGCGTTCGTGGATTTGTACTGTGATCACAACATTCTTCCCGAATTAATATAACTAATTTGATAAATAATCAGTGCATAAAAATGTTTAACTAAAAATTCAGCGTATGTATTATGATTTTAACATAATATACTAATTGGGGTGTCTGAGGGTGTGCGTTAATTACGTTACATATTGTATATATATATATATATATATATATATATATATATATATATATATATATATATATATAATGTTCATTGGCGACGGTAGTCACTTACCATCAGACCGTATGCTGGTTTGTCTCTTCTATAAAAAAACAAAAAAAATAGTGCAACCTTCACCTTTTTTTGACGTTAGACAAAAATAATATATTTGTCGATAGGTTATCTCGCTTATAAGGTCGTAAGTTCGAGAGATGGACGAAAACAAACGTATGATAGGGAGTAGCCTCTATTGCACCGTAACATCTTTAACATGTAACATAAATATAAATTATAAACAAATAAATATATTGTAAAAATATTGCCAAGGCATGGCAAAAGGAACTTCTGTCAGATTAAGCGGTTCAAATCGTCGACGACCAAGTTATTTCTGATCGGCTCGATTCACTAGCGATGCGAAAATATGTTGCTTCCCTTTGCATTTTCTATCGCATTTACCACGGGAGGTGCTCTAAAGGAATTGTTCGGATTAATTCCAACCGTCAAATTCCACAAACGCATATAGTGACAAAACTTACGGTACCATCGAACCATTTAGATTCTTGCTGGTTCACAATGACTGCAATTTACTAGGAGTTTTCTTCATCGCAAGACTACTTTGTGGAATCATCTACCACCGGCGATTTTCCGGACCGATACTGCTTAGCGATTTTCATGAGAGCCTCCTTTTTAAAAGGCCGGAAACTTTTTAGTAGACGTCCGGTTATGTCCGGAGATGAAGGGGATGGAATTTCGAGTTCTGTCGCAGTGTACCTACGATGGTGGAATTCAGTCTTGCGTCATAATGCGATTTTTGGAGTCTGTATTTAACTTGTTTAAGATGATCTAATTGGTTCTAACGGGTGAGGCAAAAATAACCATCCGATGTTCTTTGGCTGTAATTTTTTTTTACAAATAAAAAACTTTGATTCTGTTTGTGGATTATTTATGTTTCATTCAATAGAATTTTTTTTTATCAAGTCGAGAAGATTATATCGTACAAGTGGCCGCCAGAATTGATGACCATACGGGCCCTTTTTATGGCATTTTCCATCACTTTTGCCAGAACTTTAGGTGACAAGTTCGCGTATTCATGTCGGATGTTATCCTTGAAGGCTTCCAGAGTCTGAGGCTTGTTCACGTAAACTCGAGACTTCAAAAACCCCCACAAAAAGAAGTCTGGTACGGTCAAATCCGGCGATCTTGGCGGCCAGTGCAAATCACCAAAACGAGAGATTAGGCAACTTGGAAATGCCTGCTTCAAAATGTCGGTTGTGGCTCGGGCAGTGTGCGCTGTTGCTTCGTCGTATTGGAACCACATATCCTCCAGTCCCAGCTCATCCAATTGAGGAAGAAGAAACTCGTTGATCATGGCTCTGTAGCTGTCGCCGTTCACAGTAACCGCGGCGTCCTCAAAAAAATGGCCCGATGATTCCTCCAGCGTAAATAGCGCACCATGTCGTAACCTTGAGCGAGTGTAATGGCTCTTCGTGGATCACACGCGGATTCTCGGTGCCCCAGAAGCGATAATTTTGGCGATTTACGTAGCCGCTGAGGTGTAAATGAGCCTCATCGCTTATGATGAGTTTAAAAGAAAAATCGTCATCTTCTTGGTTGGGATTCCAGGATAGCTTAAGCGTAGGTTACGCGCGTTTGGCGGTCAACAGCTAACAGCTGATGCACTGTGTTTTTAGTAAGGGAACATCTTCAGGTCTTTCACCAAAAGTTGTCGTAGTGACCGCGTGGCCCAATTGCGTGGCACGTCGTTAGGTAGATGTTCCGGGGTCCATTTCGACATCTTCGGCTACCGCGGCGATATTCTCAGCAGAACGGCTAGTTTGAGGCCGGGCACGTCGAGAAGCCGGTCTGTTCAATGCGGGCGGCCAAACGCAGCAGTGTTTGTCCAGTTGGTGTCGGACGGCGGGAAATCTGCGACGAAATTCACGCTGTGTCAACACCACAGACGAATAATTGCGCAAAAAAATGGAAACAATTATTCCGCGTTCTTGAAGAGTATAGTGATTCATGGCTTATCGACAGGTATTTTACATCTGTTTACTTCAAATATGTCGTAACTGATTAGACATATGACGTCATTTGCAAAAATTATAGAGTTCTTCAATAGGGTGAATACTTTTGCCTCACCCGTTATAACGGGTCTATTTTTAAATATATATATTAATAAGTATGTTGTATGCTTTCCCAAGAACTAGCTCATACGTATGTATATTAATTAATGTAAGGCGCCAGAATGATAACCATGCACTCCTATTATAGATTTTAGATTCATTTTTGCTAGCGCTACTTTATGAAAATGATCGTAAATGCTTTAAAACCTTAAATATATTGCTTATTTAGCCTATGAATTAAATATGTAATTAACACTTTCTTCCCAGGCATGCAACATTCAGTTTTATACGGCAACGAACCCAGAGGGCTTCCGCTGTCGGAAAAACTTCTCCCACAGTACTTAAAGGAGTTGGGCTATAGTACGCATTTGGTGGGCAAATGGCACCTCGGCAGCTTCAAGAAGGACTACTTGCCTTTGCATCGAGGGTCTGTCCTGATATTTTTTTTATAAAAATGTGTACTTGCCAGTGCAAAATGCGGCATATCATTTTAAAACTTGTTTGAATGTAAGTACTTAAAGGTTTCTTTATATTTGAAGGTTCGATACTCACCTCGGTTTTTGGACGGGCAGAATCGACTTGTACGATCATACGTCATTTGAAGCTGGCTCGTGGGGATTCGATTTTCGTCGAGGTTAGTACTGTTGACATATTTGGATATAATCACCTTTATTTTGTTATATAACGATGAGATAATGAATTAATTAGAAAAGAAGAAAATAAAACTAATATTGTAATAGCATAACTTAGCGTCAGAATCAAATTACTTACTAAATTTTGAGTTATTTAATATGGTAAAGTTGCCTAATATGAGATAGGTTCCTAAAATGAGATAATTCAGTATTTGAAAGTTCATTTACTTGTCGTAAGCGACAGTGTGGTCACGGTAATTTTATCTATACAGTATTCCAACTTCATACAAACGGACGAAACGAGAGCTATGCCTACGCGCCTCGATCTCGGCATGCGCTCGGCATGCAGACAGCCGTGACTGTGCCGCAGTCATGATTTTGTGGAATATATAAAAAATGGAGGAAGTAAATAATAGAATAGAAATAAAGAAATAATAAATCCAAACTTCATTTAAAACCAAACATATAAATTGTAAAATATCTTTTACTTGGTTATAGAATATAGATACCTCTAATAAAGCATTTCGTACGTCTCAGCCGAGGTGCAAATATTTTTCGGTCGCAAATTCATAAGACCGATTTGTTATTCAAACAAACATGGTTTTTTTAATTAAATCTACCAATCAAAAAACGATACGAATTTTTATTGAACACTTCCTATTCAATTCAAAAAGTACCTATTATATTTGTTTATATAAAAAAGTATATTTACAATCATAAAACTAAATGGAAATACAAAGTAGGCAAATGTAAAAATGGTGGAGGCAGGCAGCCCTATCGCATGTTTACGTACCGCGCGGCTGTAGGCATTTATTTCAAAGATACGGCCGAGTTAGGTTACAATACTGTATAGATAATATTACCGTGGTGTGGTATCGTTTGCTCAGTCATTCGGTCGTGTTCAAACGTGCACTATTTAGGCTATAAATAAACGCTGATTTTTACACGAACGTATAATTAAAGTCAATAAAAGTATAGTAATTAATAGTATTTTTCATTTAAATGAGCTTAAAAATGGAGTTGCCTAAAATGAGACATAATATCTTAAATTAGGAACCCTAAGTACCTCATATTACGATACCTTCATGCTTTATATATAAAGCATGAATAGGTGTATTAATTTGTTATATCACTTATGTTACAGAATCGGTAAGCACTATTGCTAAAATATTTATAGGTGTGAAATATACATTAAATCTCATTTAGAATTACCTTCTTACTTGCGATATTTTACTAGAAATACGCAAAAATTAAAATAGTATCTCATATTTGGCACCTTTTACCCTAATAAATAAAAGAACTAACAAAATAACAAAGTAAGCAGAACTTAAGGACTAGAAGTCTAGAAGACATTTTCCAAAAATTGCTAAATCTTAAAAAATTATAATGTGAGAACGCTATTAAACATAAATCATAATCCAAATTTCGATATGGTTACAGGCTTTCAAGTAGCTCATGACTTGTTCGGTGCTTACGCTACTGATGTTTATACCGACGAGGCAGTAAAGGTATGTTACCTATTAAAAATTAGTTTTTTTTTACTATCATCATCATCATAAGCCTCCCCTTAAGACCTAAGAGCATTTCTTATCACAAAGTACAGACCTGAGCCACCTGCACCCACCGACTTCCTGCATGTTTCATATAAAGGTTTTACGAATAAAATATAGCCTACATCTCTTCTGGCATTACTCTATCTGTAAAGTTTCATCACAAATAGTTCAGTCATTTCGAAAATTAGCAAGGACGAGCAGACAATCATTTTTGGAATGGTTAAGTGCTTGGCCAGAGTGCATCGCGGGTGTGGGCGCGGCGCGGGTACGGGCGCGGGCGCGACGTGAATGTCCGCAGTGGAGTGCGGCCTCGTTCCGAGTGTTGTCGTGATCAGTGTTTGTCAAACTATAATATGGATGAAGAAGACATATTATTTTTACTGGAAAGTTCTTACTTTGAATGGCAAATTCTAAAAGTGATAAATGGAATTAATGAAATAAATTAACTCAGAGAAAATGAAGAGAATTTCACACACTTTATGTAAAATTGCAAAATCAAAATTTTTTTGGATATAGGAGAATATCAATGGATACGTTTGACTATATACTTATTAGAAAACATAGTTAATCGACTTATAAAATAAATCTTTGTACATTTATTTCGGAAGACGCCATTACAACGCGGGCGGTTAGCTTGATGTGGTTTGAGATGCCCGCTCCTAGCGTGGTTAGCCGCCTGCCGCCCGCGTGTTCAGTGTTCACTGCGGCCACTTGTATGAACGAGCTCTGGCGTGAGTTGCCCGCGCACTCCCCGCATCAACGAACACGCGCCCGCCACCGCCTCCGCCTCGCATCCGCGGGCTACTATGGACACTTAAGGCCCCGGTCTTGTAAAAATTAGTGTTCTCGCAAAATTTAGAGCAAAACAAATTTTTTTATAGTATTTAAAAAAGAAAAAGTGAAACATATTTTACATTTATTCAAAGTGTAGGATTTGATATATTCGAAACTGTTTTTTAATTTTATTTTGGTGTTTAAATTAATAGCTCTATTAGGCGTTAAACATGCCTATGTTTAGTTTACATGCGTAAAAGGTCTTATTAAAACCTCTGCTATGTACAAACTATAACAATATCAAGAAAAGTATTCAGATCACATTTATTTACATATTGTCTACAATAATCTGATCTGGTCACTTTTTTTATAAACGCTTTAATTTTCTTATTTGAAGGGCTTAAAAAGTTGTAATTTCATGATTTTTTTTACTTCAAATATGTATTTTTTTCTATTAGAAGTATAAATGTAGCAAAGTTGTACTTAAAATCACATAAAATAGAACTATTTTCAAGTTAGTTAGAAATAAATAAAATTAAAAAAGTATATATTTTCGTACTTTTTACCTATATGCCATTTATAAACCAGAACGCCTGAAAATTCTCTCTCATCCGCTGGTATTTCCCGGCGTTCAGACGTGTGCAGTGTCGCTCAACGTTACTTTACCTCTCTCTCGCACGGTTGATCTCTTTCTCTCGTGTAGCTCTTATGGACTGAGCGGAGCATATCGTGAAAGTTGCTTTACTTAAATATATAATATTTTTATTTAATTGTCATATTAGTTTTAGTTTTTAGTGTTTATATTAGTATTAGATTAATTTACTTGGACTTTTATATTTAGTATGTTTTATATATTTTAAGTTTAATATATAATTTATTACCAAAAAAAAAAATAAACGGAAAAAGATGGATAGAAAAAAGTGGAAATATCCTTGTGTCAGTAAAAATAGTAGTAAAGTACAAAATGTACAAGATAGAGGCGAAATTTGTATAAAGAGGCAGTTTTTATTTTCCTTCGGTTGTATATACCCTTTTTAAACCTACACCCCGTATAAACATTACTAAACACGACATTTATGAAATGTAAAAGGGCAAAAAAATTATACTACCACGACAAAAGTAAAATCAATATTTTTGGAAAAAAAAAATTTTAAGTTATATATTTAATGAAGTAGAGCACCTTCACCTGCGAACTCGAACGTATTTATGCACCGGGGGAGAGCGCCCCCGCTAATGGCTGGAAATGTAAAACAGTAAAGCTAGACGGAAGTCTTAAAGGAAGATTTTACGTTTGAGTACGTCACGCCGCGCCCGCCCCGCGTCCGCGTTTGCAGTCTGGCCAAGCAGTAACTTGTGTCTTTCTAGCATGCAAATAACCTTCCGAGTTTAATATAAGCCAATTATTAAGTATTACAGATAATTAATTTTATTTATGCATTTATAAATAGATTAATTTACTTGTGACCGTGGAAGGGCAAGGTGTTCAGCCCGGGGAGTGGCCAACGCTCCGGTGTTATGTCGAAGCCTTTCTATACATAGCCCGGTAACTTCGGAACTTTGATAGTGCGATTTAGGCTTCGGTGTGTTTTCGCTTGTGGCGCGACGACAGTACCGCCACATACTTGTGACGGCGCTGTCGTCGCGCCACAAGCGAAAGTACCTAGTAGGTAGGTAGGTAGGTAAGTACATATATATTTTTAGTGTCTACCTGTTCTTAGTTGAAGCAATCAATATTTTCTGTGTGGTAGCGGCGTAAGGCGATACATCAACCCATTTCGTCCCGTGGGTGTCGTAATCGGCAACTATGAGAAATGTCATGTCATGTTTTTTTAATGGGAATTTTGGACAAAATGGAGGAATAGTTATATTATATATATATATATATATATATATATATGTGTGGTCCTGCTTTCTAGGTACTTATAATACAAATATTTTAATACAAAAATACACTACACACTGAGGTCTAATCCCCTCCCCCTCTATGTGGCGGCCATTTTGTTTTTTTCTGGAAATATTCGCTACATGTTTACAAAAAATCACATCTATCAAAGTTTTGGTCTTACTGAGATAAACATTAGATCATTCGGAGGGCAACAATATTTTCTATCGTTTACGTTACCAAAAAATTGTTCACATACTCGTATCTTTAAAGAAAAAAAAAATAACTTCAAATAGATATCAAAAAATTATGCTAATCGGCTAATTATTGTAAATTACTGACAAAAAAATCCCGTTTACCTTATTTATTTTTGTACTAGATCGACAGATTTTGAGTTAAGCTACAATAAAACAAAGTTTACATCTATCTGTATGTTTATTATTTGAAGAATTATTAATGTTTGAACATAGCGTATGCGCAAACACAAAAGGCCTTTGAGTTGTCACTAAAGAACGACCTTTTGTGTTTGCGCATACGCTATGTTCAAACAACAATTATTCCTAAAATAATAAATATGCAGCTGTAAACTTTATGTTGTATTGTAGCTTAACTCAAAATCTGTCGATTTAGTAAAAAAACAAACAGGATAAACGGGGTTGTTTTTGCAGTAATTTACAACAATTAGCCGATTAGCATAATTTTTTGATATTTATTTGAAGTTAATTTTTTTTTCTTTAAAAATACGAGTAGCGGAACAATTTTTTTGGTAACGTAAACGATAGACAATATTGTTGCCCTCAGAATGAGCCAATTTTTATCGTAGTAAGACCAAAACTTTGAGAGATATGATTTTTTTGTAAACAGTTGAAAATATTTCCAGAAAAAAAAATGACCGCCACATAGAGGGGGAGGGGATTAGACCTCACTGTGTAGTGTATTTTTTGTATTAAAATAGCTGTATTATAAGTACCTAGAATATTGCTAGTCCGTGACCGGACACACTGTGTATATATATATGAGTGTCGAGACATTTTAGACCAGTCTTCCGAAAAATACGCGATAGCTGAGGATGTCTTGTCAACACTAAACCAACGTTTTAGAACTACAAGGAACGTTACCGTTGAGCGGCATAAGTTTTTCACACGAGATCAAAAACAAAATGAAACGATCGATCAATATGGATTTCACTTGCGTAAATTGTTTCAGACATGTGAATTTGGTGAATTATGTGATAGTCTAATGAAGGATAGACTAGTCTATGGTGTGACTAGTGCGAGTATTCGCGAAGGAATACTGAGGGTGGATAATTTAACATTAAAAACTGCATTGGACATCGGTCTTGCGGCGATAATTTCAAAGGTCCACTTGGAAAATATAAGGCGTGAAGAGCCGGCTTACGAGGTCAGATATTTGAATAGAGAAAAAGAGGACATACGGCCCACACACAAAGTTTCAAACACGTGACATGTCTTGTACTGCAAAAGTCAATCCGTTTACTAAGCGTAACGATTAAGGAAAGCCTCCCTATGACAGGAGAGACCTATTTTATCCAGCTGTGGTCTTCCAGGAGCCAATAAATAAAAACATAACGTACGTAGGTATATGAAATCAAACCAACCACATAAACAATCCAAAAAAAAATGTGTGCACGCGGTGGAAGTGAAACCTTCAGAAAAGTAAACAAGGGTGGGAGGCTACGAAGCACCGCACAAAAAGGAGACAGAGATAATAGCAAACACTGTTTTACTAATTAAACTATGTTTTATCACATTGTCTTGCAGACGAAATTCTATAGATGTAGATGCTTGTCTCTTTTTAACTCGCGTGTCTATCTATCTATGTAACGGATTTTTTTAATGCAATTTTCACCAACTTGTAGACGGATAATTGAAAACTTGCACTCGAATTAACGACCGATGACAATACAATAATTTAATAACTTTACCCTAATATCCTGATCCTGATTAGGATCACCGGGATAATAATTCTCTCTCGAATTGTCACAGCTTATAATCAATGTGTGTAGTTTAAGTTTTAATATTATTGTTAGTCTTTTCACCGTGTTCCTATACAACGATTCTAAGAGGTTTTCACTTAAAAAACTCTGCTGGCAGTTGATACGCGGCCACAACAGTAGCGACGGGCTGTTCCTGGTAGTGGCGCACTCAGCAGTGCACAGTGGCAACCCTTACGAGTTCCTGCGCGCGCCGGATGATCTCGTCGCCAACTTCTCACATCTGCCCGACAGGCAACGGCAGAAGTACGCCGGTAGGTACGTCGCGTTTCCTTTTTATAAGCTTTTGTTTAAATATGTATTAATTATGTTATCCTACGGCTTAAGGTAAACCTTGCGATATGATTTTAGATGGCATAAGGCCATAGTTGCATGAGAGCGTTTCCGTTTAGTGGTGGTGCAAGAACACCTACTATCCCATATCATCCCGTGGGTGTCGTAAGAGGCGACAGAGGGAAACAAGTCAAGAGATGGAAGGTGATTTTTTTACGCTGCATCACCACTTACCATCATCATCTGTACCACCGTCTTCATAATAACAGTTTAAAATAAAATAAAAGTGCGGTTTCCAACACGCTTACCAGGCGTGGCCACTATTGTAGAATCCTCCCTATGAAGAAGTCTGCGGGGGAGCCCTTTGTTCACCAGTGGACTTTTATACGATGTAATGAACAGATGGACGGATATTATAGAAAGCTCAAGGTCACTTAGCGAGCTATAGAAAAGGTTATGAGGATATTCACGGTAGAAACAGAGTAACCGCCATAGCCCAAAGGATCAGCAAGCTAAAGTGACAATATAGCTCGAAGAACCGACAACTGATTGGGAAGAAAGGTTCACGAGGCAGACACTTACTTGTACGCGAAGTATAGGACAGCCCCTTACTAGATGAAATGATGACCTTGTGAGAGATGTAGGAAGTCAATGACTGCGGGTGGCTCAGAAAAGCGCTTGTGGCATTCCTTGGGGTGACCTATGTTCAGCTTTGGACCTGTGAAGGGCTGTAATGATGTTGGAAAAAGATATCTCAGCGCGCTTTTCCATTTTACGCTGCATCATCACTTACCATCATTATCCGATCTTTTCAGAAGAAGGCTTTTAGTGCGAGGCGATAAGTGAATAAGTGAATAAGTGAACAAGTGAATAAGTGAATAAGTGAATAAGGCGGTAAGTGGCGATGTAAGAATATCCACCACCCCATATCATCTCGTGGATGTCGTAAGAGTCGACAGAGGGAAACAAATCGGGAAATGGGCGGGAGCATCTTCCTAGTAACGACTAAAAATAAAAAACTGCGCTAGCCAACCCGCTTGCCAAGCGTGGCAACTACGGCAAATATCCCCCTTATGAGGCAATCTGTGGATATGTTCAGCAGTGAGCTTTAACAGAATGTAACGGTAACGGTAAAGATTATTTCAGCAATGGTAACGAAGTTAGATGAATCCGTGGGCAAAGTGATGGAAACGCTACAAAACGAAGGGATGCTGGAGAACTCGATTGTTTTATTCACGACGGATAACGGCGGGGCCGCTGCTGGCTTCAATAACAACGCGGGATCCAATTATCCTCTCAAGGGGGGTGAGTTGACATTTTATAAAAGTAAATTGACAGCCTATATACGTCCTAATGTTGGGTTACGACTTAGGGACCTTCAAGAAAAGAGCCCACTACTTTCTAAAAGTCTGCCAACGCATGGGCAATTCTTCTGGTGTTGACATGTTCATGGGCGACGGTGATCACTTAATATCATACGAGCCTCATGCTCGTTTGCCTCTGATTCCATTAAAAAGGGCCTCTTCTCATCAGGGAATAACTAAACACAACTTTATATTTGTTTGTAGAGCTTAAAAATGCGATTAATATATAATATTCCGTAATAATAATTGTTCCAGAGGCGCCGTCAGTAATAAGTCTTAGGTTTGAATCTATAATTCGGTTTTATGCGATGATTGAGGCAAATGCCTATTTCGTTATGAAAAAATAATTATTTTAGAATAATGGCTAAATTGGGGGCACACAGTCCATCTGATGGTAAGTTGATGCTGTGGCCCATAGAAATCTATATCTATACTCAATTAAGAATCAAAAAGCAGATACGTTGCCCCCTGAGGACTAACATGGAATCCCTCGTTTCCAGTAAATAGGGTATCCGGTTCTCTAAACTCACTATCCGGAACTCTGCTATTTCACGCTAGTATTCTGTGAGCTCGTGGTGCTGCCCCGGTCGAACCGACACATTCGTGCTACAACCATAATGTAGCTGCAGCTGGCAGTGGTTACAATGCGTGTTGGCGGACTTCAAGTGTTCCGTAAATATTTTGTTTCCTATACAAGTTCCTCACAATGTTTTCTTCACCGACGAGCGCGCGGCTAAACTTATAATTCACAATTATGTCTGTGCCGGCGGGGATCGAACCTCACCCGGACTGAGACTGTGACATAATACAGCGAGGGGTTATCTTCTGAGCTACCATATCAACACTTATATTATTACACAAGCGATCCCCACCTCGGCTTCACCTGGGTAAGATTTTAAAGATGTTAAATTATATATCTTAAACAGCAGCACCCCTCGCCCTCCCTCGTTTGCGTGAACTACCCCCGTCATCGCTACTCCCAACACCACTACACTGGGAGACTAAGACAAACCACCGTCGACAATACTACACTCGTTTCGTCTCTACATGAGGCGCCTTCAGGTAAAGTAGACTCTGCGGTGGTAGAACGCTAAACCAAAAATTTTTAAATTATATATTTCGATTCCTAAAAAAAAGAATATCAGAGCCTGGCATTTTTTTTTCTTTTAATAACAAAATATTAGCAATGCTATTAACGTTACTAATATTCCCTGTAAGCATTCCTGGTAAATTTAAAATGCTTGTGTCAGGAGCAGTTCACGACAGTAGTCCGGCGAATGCCGGATTCGAATCCACGACCTTCTGAGTTCACGGTCAGCACCCTGCCATTAGACTACTGTCGCATCATTATCGTGGCATTGCTCTTTATTTATTCGTAAAGTTTCATTACAACGGTTCAGCAGTCCCGAGGTCCAGTCCGGGAGACAGAGAGACTGACGGATAAACAGCTCAACAAAAGGTTCAAAATAACACTGACAATTCTAATAACAGGTGAAAAACACTCTATGGGAGGGCGGAGTCCGAGGGGCGGCGGTACTTTGGAGTCCACTTCTAGCAAACAAGCCTCGTGTTGCCACTCAGAAGGTCCATATATCCGACTGGCTGCCCACTTTTCTCTATGCTGCTGGAGGAAACATAAGGTAATAATGTTGTCTAATATAGGAATTTAATTAAGCGCCACTGTTATTTCTTAGTGGTAGACTTTATTATTTGTAACTAGTTATACCCCGTGACCTCGTCCGCGTGGAATTTATTAAGATTGGATTTCATGACTGTTAATTTTTTTTCTCAGAATCCGCGGAATTCTAAGAACTTTTCTAAAATAAAAGTAGCCTAAGCTACTCTTTATAACATCAGTAATCTGCCAATGAAAGTGCCGTCAAAATCGGTTCAAGCATGTCGGAGAGTCGGCAGGACTGACAAAAATTTTAGGAATTTTTTTTTTGTTATAAGTACCGCATATGCTTTCATATGCATTTAGTAAAACGCTGTTTTTTAACATTACAGACACTTAAATTTTATTTATTTGTATAGCTACTCGTATCGATTTTTCCATGACACAATATTTTTGGTTTCATAACTTTAAATATAACTATGAAGTATGAATATTTATTAATAAATTCCTGTGAAAGTCCACCGCTGAACATAGACCTCTCTTGGCAAGTGTGTTGGCAGTCGCAGTTTTTTATTACCCATCTCCTGTTTCATTTTCCCTCAGTCCCACGGGATGATACGAGCGATTGGGTATTCTTATATCTCGACTACACAGTAACAAGTTCGTAAGTTTGAAATTATTATTATTAACAAATGAGATGAGATATGACATAAGGGCTATATGGTAGGAAGTCCATGGGTGCAGGTGGCTCAGAGCCATGATTTGAGGCATTTATTGGGGGAGGCCTATGTTGTTGGCCTACGTATGCTGTGATGATGATATGTTAAAAGGTTAGAATTCCATGTCCTCGTCTGGATAGGTCTGCCTGCAAAGTTTGAAATTAAAACTCTTAAATTTCTAAACATAATAATCCGTCGAAGAGACCAAAGCTGAATATAAATCGTCCACAACGACTAGCACAGGTCCCAAATCACCTGCATCTATCGACTTTCTGCATCTCTTACCAGATTGTCTTCGCTCACCGGTACAAGACTGCCACTCGAGAGTGAGAACTTTTCTTCCCCATAGGTTGGCGACCATACCGTTACCACAGTCCACCGTTGCCATAGTTGCCACGCTTCACAGATTGGTTGTCAACCGCAGTTTTTTTACTTGGTTCGATTCCCTTTGTCGCCTCTTACTATATCCACGGGACGAAACGTGGTGGGAGTTATTCTTTCACCGCCTTTACACGGTAAAAGACCTTAAATAAATTCTAATAATTAAATTACTTATGCAGCGAACTGGAAAACATAGACGGTGTAAATCAATGGGAGGCTCTGTCCGAAGATCTGGTGTCCGACAGGAAGTCCATAGTTCACAACATTGATGATATCTATGGAAGCGCGTCCATTACTCTAGAGGAATGGAAACTACACAAAGGTCGGTTTATTTAAAACTTTAGTATTCATACGATTAGTATCAAATTAACGTGGTAGCGCAACCCTGGGCTATTTTATGGCTGCAATACGAATGGATAGGCTCGACCGAGGAAGGACCGCGCTCTCATAGAATACCAGCGTGATGCTGCTGTGTTTCGTATGGTGAGTGAAGAAAACCGGAGACCCTTTTTACAGGTAACAAGGCATTCCGTCGCAGTACTTAGGGATGACTGCATTTTGCTTCTTAAGACGAAATGGTATCGTGATCAAGTAGGTTTTAAAGGGGTGAAACAGATGCGGGCGGGCGATCGGCGCGCGGTGTCCCTCGCGTGTCCGGCTAGCTGCTAGCAATATTTCGTTCATCTACTCATGTGGCAATAGCGACGAGTAGAGATGGGCAAGTGAAAAATTATATCAATATATTTCGTACCGTATTCGATTTTTAAACAGTATCGATATATTCACGTGATGAATGTCGATATATCGTAATGTTTTGCATAATGTAGTACGATAAGGCTGAAATTGCTATTACTAGACGGTTGGTTGACAAAACGACAACGACACATGCATGTTCTTGTAGCTTCTTTTGTTGCTGAATGTTTTTTTTATAGGATAGGGTGACAAACGAGCACACAGTCCACCTGATGGCAAGTGGTTGCTGTGGCCCATAGACATCTACATCTATCCTCGATTACGAATCAAAATGCAGATGCGTTGTCACCCGTGAGGACTAAGATGGAATGCCTCGTTTCCAGTAAAAAGGGTCTCCGGTTCTCTACACTCATACGAATACAGCATTAAGCTACTATTTCACGCTGGTATTGTGTGAGAGCGTGGTCCTTCCCCGGTCGAGCCGACCCATTCCTGCTAGATGTATAGTTGACATCTAATATAACTGCATCAAGGCTCACGTTTAAATGATATAAATGATGTTTTGTTGATTAATACAACATTTTAAAATATATCAAAATTAATACGAATTCGATACTCCACGATAAATATTGAATATTGATATATCGCGATTTATAAATATGTATCGTCGATATATATACATATTTTTTAATATATATATATCAAAAATTATATCACAAATTCAGTGTATGTATTAGATTACATCCCATATATATATATATATGTTATAATCATAATACATACGCTGAATTTTTATTTAAACATTTTTATGCACTGTTTATTTATCAAATTAGTTATACTGATTCCGGAAGAATGTTGTGGTCAAAGTACAAATCCACGAACGCAAAGACTTTAACGCGCTTGAAATAAAGTTCATTTATCTATTTATCTTAATTTTTATTGAATGACAGAATTAGTAACAATACAAATAAAACTGCACTCTTAAAAGTCTCATTGCCTTAAGTTACGGTCCATTTCAGTTTGTTTTGACTGTACAGATTTAGTGTGACTGTAATTTACTTAGTCTTAATTATTTTTGGGATAAAAAATTATTTTAAAATGATAGGAATGAAGTAAAGATTCTGAAAAATACTTTTAGTTTAATTTTCGTTTGGATGCCTAATTTTTCACTACCTCTCAATGGCTTACCACGGTAATCAATATTTTTTAAATATATTGTTACATTTATACGACGACAGCGAGCGTGATAAAGTTGTACACGGATGCTCTCTACGACGCGCTGCGGACGACTGGCGGGGTGGCGGTGGCGGGACTGTTTCCGAGCAGGGTTGCCAGATGACAATTTTTTTTCTCGTACCAGGGTTGCTAAATATCTCGTAATTTCAACAGATAATCTCGTAAAAGCATAAAGGGAGATGCCCATTTTCAGCCATGGAACGCCAAATATGCATATGTTAAAAAAATATATCTTTATTTATGGTTATTAATCGCGATATTCATTTATATTAAAAAAGATGGGAATATTTATGCACAAAAAAAGGTACTGAAATGATAAAAATAAAATTAGGTAAATGCGAATTTATTTGGTAATAATGTTGCCAGTCACAAATCTCATTAAAATCGAATCCCATTTTTAATCGATTATTTATGGTGTCATTATTACAATGCTAATATAACTTTTCGAAAATTATTATGATGCTATGATGTAGATGTAAAGCAACCGTTGAAAACGGATATGTATCCAAAGCAGCCGATACGCTGCCGATACATTGCTAATGAGGGCGTTAGTTGTGTGATAAAATTAGATTATTAAAATAATTATTTGTGATATTAATACTTTTTAAATAAATAAAAATAAACACCTACCTAAGATAATAAAATCCTATTATTATTTTTACAATTTAACAATCGTATTTACACACTTTACCTACTTAGGTTGATTGTTTTAGATATAGGTAAGTTTAATGGACTCTCTTATTTTAGATTTAAGAGCTCCACTTAAACGAAAAAATAATGAATAAAATATAACTAAAACTTGGAAAAAGTGGCCCAATGTGAATCGATCGTTTTGTGTTGGATGGTTAATGATAAGAAAAAGTAAATAAATTAGCATATTTACTACTACTACTAAATAAACTAACTTTTTGGCTGATATAGGTATGCGAAAGAAGTCGTCATTGTCAAAATCTCGTAAAAAAGTGTACGAGATTTTTGTTAATATTGAATCTCGTACAGACCCTCTAAATCTCGTAATGGTACGAGATTTCTCGTACGTCTGGCAACCCTGTTTCCGAGGATATATGTAGATTTTAATGGGCCACAGCATCCACTTACCAACACGTGGACTGTGTACTCGTTTGTGACCCTTATTTTATATAAAAAGCAGACGTAATGATTTTTGAATTTGTAATATTGAAGGGACCAATTACAACGGAGCGTGGGACTACTGGTACGGGCCCAGCGGACGTGAAGGCAGCTATAACGTCGATCTGGTTCGTACAAGTTATGCTGGCCGAGCCATAGACAAGTTGGGCCTCATACCGTCCACAGACAAAATATTGTCTCTCAGGTAACGGTGCTTTAGGAATGTACTCAATTTTTTATAGCAGTGTTACGTTAGTATAGTAGACTCAACGAGATAGAGCCACGCTGCTGGTTGCAATAAGAATTGGTCGGCTCGACCGCGGGAGGACCACGCTCTCGCAGAATACTAACGTAAAATAGTAGCTTTATGCTGCTGTGTTTCATATGGTGAGTGTAGAGAATCGATGACTTTGTTTATTGGAAACAGGGAATTCCATCTTAGTCCTCAGAGCTCAGGGGTAACACATCTACATTTTGATTCTGAATACCAGCGTAAAATAACAGCTTAATGTTCCTGTATTTCAAATGTATGGTTAGTGTGGAGAACCGGAGATCCCCTTTACTGGAAACGAGGCATTCCACCTCAGGAGTGACAACGCATCTGCATTTTGATTCTTAATCGAGGGTAGATGTAGATGTGTATGGACCACAGCATTCACTTACCATCAGGTGGACTGTGTTCCGTTTTCTCCTTTCATTCTAATGTTTGGACTGTGTGCTCGCTCATCACCCTTATTCTATAAAACGTCTAGTTTTCAGATTGTGGCTTTGAATTCTAAAGGGATAACGGAGCCAAATTTACCCATTAGTAATGGCATATAACGGTCAAGCTCAAGACTGAATTACGGTAACGGCGGCCATTCTTAATGTAGACTAGTAATCTACGCAGGACAGTCTTACAGTGCAAGAGTGAGGGCGCAAGCCCAGATGCACTTTTCACTCCCCCACTTTAATAGTTCGATGGGAGGGCATTCCGACACGACAGGAGTGAGTTCAATAGCAGGACCAGGCTATACGTGATTTCCGAAGCATGGGTGTAAAGTAACGTAAACTTCTTGACTCCGGGCTGCTACTTAGAATTTTTTAAACGAAAAATCCAATGAAAGATTTTGGTCGAACCCAAGACCTAGCAATCGCGTTTACGACCACTAGACCAACGAGCCTGTACCTGAGATCTGACAACAGTATTTAAACTTACCAGTATGTACTATGTTTATTTTCTTATCATAGTTTACGTACTTTCCCAGGCAAGGGAGTAAACCACCGTAAATTTCCGATTTTTGACTCCGATTCTTCTACTGAGAATTACTTGACAGAAAAAAACACAATAACTTATTTTGATCTGACCTGGGATTTGAACCAGAAACACTAGGTCAACGAGGCAGATGTAGCAATACATAGCCACCACACAGTAACAGTTTATAATGATACCATAAACAGAAATATATAATTTTATACGTGGTAGAGCCATGCCGCAGCTACATATATTAGTGGTATAGTTGTAGCACGAATGGGTCGGCTAGACCGGGGAAGGACCACGCTCTCAGAGAATACTAGCGTAAAATAGCAGCTTAACGCTGCTATGTTTTCTTAACGCTTCTGTAGATTAGTTTATTTCCATAGCATAATGTCATATGGGATTTTGCTATGGGGAATGCGGCTGATTTAGAAACTATTTTTGTTTTGCATAAGTGGGCCATAAGAGCTATTTAGAACCTTAAACCGAGATTTTTGAAGAAATAAATATATTAACTTTGGCCTCTCAGTATATTTATGAAAATTTGATGTTTGTTCACAAAAACAAAGGTACTTTTAGTACAAAAGTGATATACACTCTATAAACACTTTAGTTGCGGCACGCTATGATGGCCGTTTTGACATATTACAATAGTGATGTGAAATGTCAATTTACTCTCGAAAAAAATATAATGAAATCTATAAGTTTTTATTGCAAGTAGTACCTGATTAAAAAGGTTTAATAAAACAAAAATATAAATGCTTACTTAATATATTTGAACAATCTGAATATTAGAATGAAAATGAATATACATACTTTATATGCACACAAGAAACAAATCAATACAAAAAGAGACCAAAAAAAGGTGCCACATAAGGCTATATTTAATCAGATTCGTCCAAAATGCTATTTTCACTGTCGTCACTGGTATCATCACCTACATTAATTATAAGTTCGTTTTCTAAAATATTATCTATGTTCACATCTCTTTCATATTCTTCCCTTATTAATTTAACAGTTCTATTCACAACCTTTTCCCAGTGTCATTTAGTCACATGTTCATTTTTCACAAGCTTCTTCTTATATTTTTAGCATTTTTGTTGTGGTAAATGGGGGTTCTGTATTGTATCTTGCAGCATATCCCTTAATTGGAGCCCACACCAACTCAACTTCATTATATTCACAATGATAAGGCGGTAACCGTATAACTCTGTGCCCATGTTCTAACGCTATTTCGTCAATAACGTATCGTATCTTGGTTGGTTCGTTTTCTTTTAAAAGACATACTAATTTCGCTTTTAACATATTTATGTTTGCATCTACGCCATTTTTTTGAAGCCATACGACGATGTCAGTTTTCTTTTGGGATTGGGCAGGTAGCTTGTCAATGTGCTCGATCGAGTGGTATGGGGCGTTGTCCATAATTATAATAGATGGTTTTCAGGTGGTAAATAAGTACACCAATAATTGTAATGTTATAAAAATAAAAAAATAAATGTTCGCGGGACCCTAATATATAGTTTAGAAATCAATGTAATAAATAAATTTTGTGCCCTATTATTACTAAGTTTAAATATTTAATTAAACAAAGTCTGTATAAAAAGGGTTATTATGATATAATATTAATATATGAATACAACGTTGATGTTGATGTGGGAATGAGGTGGTCGCTTCCAATCTGTTTCTAAAATAAATTTAGTAAATATTTTGTGACCATTTGTGACATTGTAAAATTTATATAAAAAAATGTGCCGCTGGGTATCTTGCTGGTTTTTCTCAGGACAGAGGTTTTTTTCGAAACAGTGGTAAAGTATATTGACTTTCAATAAGAATTACTTGTAATCTATATTGAATAAAAAATTATTCTATTCTCACGGGTGACGACGCATCTGAGTTTTGATTCGTATTTGATGGTAGATGTAGATATTTCTGGGCCACAGCAACTGCTTACCATCAGGTGGACTGTGTGCTCGTTTGTCACCCTATCTTATAAAAAATAAAGAAACACTACCATAACTACCAACTCTATAAACATATATGTATACTAGTGGTAGAAGTCCTTTCCTCTCCCATTTCTATTTCTTCCTATTTCTACCACCAAATAACACTATATACTTACATATATACTTGCACTACTGTGTTGCGGTCTGAAGGGTACAGAGAGCCAGTATAATTACAGGTTGTAGCTTCACATGTTAGCCCTCAGAGGTGACAACGCATTTGTAACATTCTATGCTTGAAGTTGGCTGCAGGTGGCCACGAACTGCAGTGACCACTTACCGTCCGCCGGACCGTAAGTTCGTTTGTCTCTTCACTTTTATTTAAAAAATTGAATCGAATTATTTTTTAGGGAAGAATCAACAATAAAGTGCAACGCGAGCATTGTGCCCATAGCGTGCAAGCCGTTGTTGGCACCTTGCTTGTTCAATATAGAAGAAGATCCGTGTGAAACACGAAATTTGGCGGATTTGTAAGTATTCTATTCAATTTTTAATAGACAGTAGCATTCAGATTTTGTATTTTTAATAATATTTTTCATTCGACTGTCGCTTGGCCGGAAGATTGTCGATCGACATACCTAATAACTTACATCCCGCTTGTACTAATTAAAAAGATGACTAGCGATTTAATCAGTGCATCCACGACTTTTTCGTCTACCAGGGCGCCGCCACTCAGGCATATTTGACAGATTTCAAGGCGGCTGTACAGTGAGACAGGCAGAGTACGAGTGTATACATGGTGCTCTCGTCGCGTCGCGTCGCGTCTCGTAACCCTCGTGCGCTCTCGGAAGCGTGTCGCTTTTTTGCGATCAAAGTCAAAGGGTCTCGTGAGTCTCGCGATGAAAACGAGAGCGTACTATATTCTATTCACCGTACATGGTTCAGTTACGGTAAATAGAAACCATCCACCATCTATAATGATTTCTTATATTTACGCGAACACTACACATTGAAATAATACTAGTTTTTACGGAATTTATCGCGTATATTTTAACTTTTTAAATACCCGACGTTTCGAACGCTTTACAGCACTCATGGTCACGGGCGGGACTGAGATGTTCAACGTCCATATGTCATAGTTAACCGCGGTTACCATAGATTAAAATTTAACTTTTGTTCCGATCTATGCAGTATGAACTTATGGTATCTTGAAGTCTTGCAGTTGTATGCTTGGGTTGGGATTTAATTTTATTTATTATAGGATCCCAAGTAGATGGTAGCACCCAGCCATCTTCTCTATTGAAATTAGGATGTTTTTTGATTTCAATAGCCTCGCGAATCATCCTTGGAAGGAATCGGTGTTCTTTAGCGAGGATCTGCGGTCTATCAAATCTGATGTAGTGAGGGGGGCGATCCTGTACGTGTTCACAGACTGCAGACTTCCCGGAGCGTCGATTCTTCACATCAGCTATATGTTCTTTAACGCGGGTTTTTATTGATCTTTTAGTTTGTCCTATGTAGGAGAGACCACATTCACAATGAAGCTTATACACTCCTATATCTTGCAGAGGGACATTACACTTGATCGATGGTAAAAACTGACCAATCTTCTTCAGCGGCTTGAAGTATGTTTTGATGGAAGCGCGCTTCAAGATGTAGCCAATCTTGTCAGTGACTCCTCTAACATATGGCAGTACAGCAGGTACACGCTCGACTGTGGCCGGCTTCACTCGTTCACTGTGATGTAGGCGCGGGACTCGAAGCTTGTTGTCATGCAAAACTTGCTTGACATGGTGGAGCTCTGCAGCCAGGTGTTTACTGTCACAGATCCCTCGTGCTCTCTGAAACAAAGATTTACCCACGGTAGCTAACTGTGAAGGATGGTGGTGAGAATCACCGTTTAAATATCTATCTGTATGGGTCTTTTTTCTATACACAGTATGGCTCAAGGTGTTATCAGGATTCCGAATTACTAACACATCTAGAAAAGCTAAGGAATTATTTGCCTCTAACTCCATTGTGAACTGAATTTTAGAATTTATAGAGTTAAGATGGTCTAAAAATGCAGTTACTTTATCTAAAGGTAGAATTGTGAAAGTGTCGTCTACGTACCGCTTGTAGAACCTTGGATTTATGGGAGAACTAAGCAGGGCTTTCTCCTCAAAGTCTTCCATGAATATGTCGGCGACAATGGGAGATACAGGTGAGCCCATCGCTACACCATCTACTTGCTTGTAGAACTCCTCCTTCCACAATAGGTAGCCAGATGTAAGGCAGTGTCTGAGTAATACTGCATATTCTACGGGCATGTTGTTTTCTTCCAGCCTTCTAGTTACAATTGAGATGCAGTCTTCAACAGGTAAGCATGTAAACAATGACTGCACATCAAAACTAACCATAGTTTCATTGTCTGCCAGATGTAGGTCTTTAATCTCGCTGACAAAATGGTAGGAATCCTTTATGTGTGCTCTTGTATGTCCCCTGAGTGGTGAGAGTATTTTCGCTAAGTGTTGAGCAAATCTGTAAGTTAGTGAATCGATTTGGCTCACTATGGGACGTAATGGAGCATTGGGCTTGTGTATTTTTTGGTAACCCATACAATTTTGGTGATTTGGCGCACGTAGGTATTATCCATTTTACGTCCAGATTTAATTTTTATGAGGTCACTAGTTGTTTTTAGTGTGCTATTTGTTGGGTCGTTTTTAACCTTTTTTATAAGTACTTACATCCGACAAAAGTTCTTGTATTTTAGAATTATAATCTGACGTATCCATGACTACCGTGGCGTTTCCCTTATCTGCGCGGAGAATCGTAAGTTCGTGTTTATTGCGTAGGTTCTTTAACGCTATAAATTCGTCTTTGGGAAGATTCGGTTTAGGCACTGAACATCGACGTAACGTAGACGAGATGTCTTGACGTATCGCCTCCAAATCTTCTTTCCGCATATTGTTTTTAAATAAACAGTCCTCGACACTACAGATAATTTCTTCGTACGGTAATTTGCGGGGTGTAATTGCAAAGTTGAGGCCTTTGGATAAAAACCCTAATTGTTGCATCATCCAGTGTTTGTTTTGACAGATTATAGAGCGCGATTAATCTATGATCTGTGTTTGTCAATGGTTGCTTTCGGTTCTGGCATTGATTCAGATGTTTGACATTTGACTTGTTCGTTAATTTTTGATATTTTTCTATATGTTTGTTTTTGCATTCATTATATTTACTAATTTCGCGTTTATTTAATGTTTCCATGCAAAAACATCACAGTAAACGTGTGAAGCCGGCCACAGTCGAGCGTGTACCTGCTGTACTGCCATATGTTAGAGGAGTCACTGACAAGATTGGCTACATCTTAAAGCGCGCTTCCATCAAAAAATACTTCAAGCCGCTGAAGGAAGATTGGTCAGTTTTTACCATCGGTCAAGTGTAATGTCCCTCTGCAAGATGCAGGAGTGTACAAGCTTGATTGTGAATGTGGTCTCTCCTACATAGGACAAACTAAAAGATCAATAAAAACCCGCGTTAAAGAACATATAGCTGAGTGAAGAATCGACGCTCCGGGAAGTCTGCAGTCTGTGAACACGTACAGGATCGCCCCCGTCACTACATCAGATTTGATAGACCGCAGATCCTCGCTAAAGAACACCGATTCCTTCCAAGGATGATTCGCGAGGCTATTGAAATCAAAAAACATCCTAATTTCAATAGAGAAGATGGCTGGGTGCTACCATCTGCTTGGGATCCTATAATAAATAAAATTAAATCCCAACCCAAGCATACAACTGCAAGACTTCAAGATACCATAAGTTCATACTGCATAGATCGGAACAAAAGTTAAATTATAATCTATGGTAACCGCGGTTAACTATGACATATGGACGTTGAACATCTCAGTCCTGCCCGTGACCATGAGTGCTGTAAAGCGTTCGAAACGTCGGGCATTTAAAAAGTTAAAATATACGCGATAAATTCCGTAAAAACTAGTATTATTTCAATGTGTAGTGTTCGCGTAAATATAAGAAATCATTATGTAAACCAGTACGGACTGGTAATTGCAAATAAAATACGCCGATTAGAAGATCTAAAGACCAAGCGCGCAAGATATCTAACAGCCTTAAATTTCTTGAAGAGATGCCGTGACCATAATCTCATTCCTACGTGTGTTAAAATATCAACCAAAAAGGACATTCGAGGAAGCGCTAAGATCTTAAATCAGGCGAGTAAAAAGTTGTTACGGACGGTAATCCAACAAAAACGCTCCGATCTATATGACATAAACAAATCCATAGACACATCATCCAGTGAAGTGAAGAAAGTTTTAACGACGTTTGACTATAATTTTTGCATGGAAACATTAAATAAACGCGAAATTAGTAAATATAATGAATGCAAAAACAAACATATAGAAAAATATCAAAAATTAACGAACAAGTCAAATGTCAAACATCTGAATCAATGCCAGAACCGAAAGCAACCATTGACAAACACAGATCATAGATTAATCGCGCTCTATAATCTGTCAAAACAAACACTGGATGATGCAACAATTAGGGTTTTATCCAAAGGCCTCAACTTTGCAATTACACCCCGCAAATTACCGTACGAAGAAATTATCTGTAGTGTCGAGGACTGTTTATTTAAAAACAATATGCGGAAAGAAGATTTGGAGGCGATACGTCAAGACATCTCGTCTATGTTACGTCGATGTTCAGTGCCTAAACCGAATCTTCCCAAAGACGAATTTACAGCGTTAAAGAACCTACGCAATAAACACGAACTTACGATTCTCCGCGTAGATAAGGGAAACGCCACGGTAGTCATGGATACGTCAGATTATAATTCTAAAATACAAGAACTTTTGTCGGATGTAAGTACTTATAAAAAAGGTTAAAAACGATCCAACAAATAGCACACTAAAAACAACTAGTGACCTCATAAAGAAACACTCCGAAAAATTAAATCTGGACGTAAAATGGATAATACCTACGTGCGCCAAATCACCAAAATTGTATGGGTTACCAAAAATACACAAGCCCAATGCTCCATTACGTCCCATAGTGACATACCCAGATTGGCTCAACACTTAGCGAAAATACTCTCACCACACAGGGGACATACAAGAGCACACATAAAGGATTCCTACCATTTTGTCAGCGAGATTAAAGACCTACATCTGGCAGACAATGAAACTATGGTCAGTTTTGATGTGCAGTCATTGTTTACATGCTTACCTGTTGAAGACTGCATCTCAATTGTAACTAGAAGGCTGGAAGAAAACAACATGCCCGTAGAATATGCAGTATTACTCAGACACTGCCTTACATCTGGCTACCTATTGTGGAAGGAGGAGTTCTACAAGCAAGTAGATGGTGTAGCGATGGGCTCACCTGTATCTCCCATTGTCGCCGACATATTCATGGAAGACTTTGAGGAGAAAGCCCTGCTTAGTTCTCCCATAAATCCAAGGTTCTACAAGCGGTACGTAGACGACACTTTCACAATTCTACCTTTAGATAAAGTAACTGCATTTTTAGACCATCTTAACTCTATAAATTCTAAAATTCAGTTCACAATGGAGTTAGAGGCAAACAATTCCTTAGCTTTTCTAGATGTGTTAGTAATTCGGAATCCTGATAACACCTTGAGCCATACTGTGTATAGAAAAAAGACCCATACAGATAGATATTTAAACGGTGATTCTCACCACCATCCTTCACAGTTAGCTACCGTGGGTAAATCTTTGTTTCAGAGAGCACGAGGGATCTGTGACAGTAAACACCTGGCTGCAGAGCTCCACCATGTCAAGCAAGTTTTGCACGACAACAAGCTTCGAGTCCCGCGCCTACGTCACAGTGAACGAGTGAAGCCGGCCACAGTCGAGCGTGTACCTGCTGTACTGCCATATGTTAGAGGAGTCACTGACAAGATTGGCTACATCTTGAAGCGCGCTTCCATCAAAACATACTTCAAGCCGCTGAAGAAGATTGGTCAGTTTTTACCATCGGTCAAGTGTAATGTCCCTCTGCAAGATGCAGGAGTGTACAAGCTTGATTGTGAATGTGGTCTCTCCTACATAGGACAAACTAAAAGATCAATAAAAACCCGCGTTAAAGAACATATAGCTGATGTGAAGAATCGACGCTCCGGGAAGTCTGCAGTCTGTGAACACGTACAGGATCGCCCCCCTCACTACATCAGATTTGATAGACCGCAGATCCTCGCTAAAGAACACCGATTCCTTCCAAGGATGATTCGCGAGGCTATTGAAATCAAAAAACATCCTAATTTCAATAGAGAAGATGGCTGGGTGCTACCATCTACTTGGGATCCTATAATAAATAAAATTAAACCCCAACCCAAGCATACAACTGCAAGACTTCAAGATACCATAAGTTCATACTGCATAGATCGGAACAAAAGTTAAATTTTAATCTATGGTAACCGCGGTTAACTATGACATATGGACGTTGAACATCTCAGTCCTGCCCGTGACCATGAGTGCTGTAAAGCGTTCGAAACGTCGGGTATTTAAAAAGTTAAAATATACGCGATAAATTCCGTAAAAACTAGTATTATTTCAACATCCACCATCTACTTCTTCGCCGTGGCTTATTAATTTTCTTTTTATGAATATTCTGTAAAAATTATAATAACTAAGAGCACAAAGGAAAACAACAACAGTTTCATCTAGGTCCATCTCAGCGGGGATACGGTGTTTAAATGATACAACGAGTGTGTTCTCGTGTCGAGACTCTACGCAACGAGAGGCACACAACTTGATGAGACGAGCGTGTACAGGCACCATTAGATAAAGTGTATAGATTAACTAATGTTTCTGAAATATTAATAAATTATTTTAATAGGTCTTTACCTATGAAATTGTCGTTCTGGCCATTTCAAATCCAAATGATTTTTGTGGCTAAGAATTCTAACTTAAAATTAATTTAAATTAAAAAAACATAGAACTCTTTTTTCAAAATTAGTCACCTGTTGATTGATTGGCGTTATTTATTTATTTCATTTATTTAATATTCTTTATTGCACACCATATAAAAATTACTAATAATATATACAAAAGAAGTATGCAATGGGCGGTCTTATTGCTGATAGCAATTTCTTCCAGACAACCAGTGAATGGACAGGATTACACAAAAATGACAAGGGTAGGGCACATTGGTGTGATAAAAAAAGAATACACATTTCATATAAATAAATATATATGTATACATATACACACGCACATATATATATATATATATATATATATATATATATGTATGTGTGTGTGTGTGTGTGTGTATATATATAAATAGGATAAGGATTAAAGAGAATACTATAGAGAAGATGAAGTATGTGAGCATTCCGATGAAGTCGTATCGACAACCACTTGAGCTTAGTACGAAAAAGAGAGACATGGTCATATTTGCGTAATCCAAATATAAACCTAATACAGAAATTCTGAATTCGCTCAAGTTTATCAAGCTGAGCTTCGGTGAGATCTAGATAGCTGACGTCCGCATAGTCGAAAATAGGGAAGAGAAGGGACTTGGCAAGCGCAGTTTTGGTGTATATTGGAAGAAAGTTACGTAATCTACGCAAGGAGGCTGCAGAGGCATAAACTTTACGGCGAATCGTTACATAAACTTTACGGCGTTATGTTTTCATCGCATTTGAATATTTTTCATCATCATGGATACGTTAATAATTCGGGCAACGAAGCACAAGCGGCACGCAACAACGACGTTTACGGAGAGAGTACTCAACGAACACAATAGCCGTTCCCGGCCGCTTCCGTTCTGGAAATTTCGAACTGAAAAATGAAACCCGTGGTTGTCCGATAACTTTGATCGACAATGACGAATTAAAGGCGATTATAGAAGCTGATGATAGATGTTAGCATCGAAACAATATTGGTCCATTTGCGTTAAATTAGCAAGGCAAAAGCTTGACAAATGAGTGCCCCACGAACTCAATGATCACCAGCGCGAAGTACGCGTTGAGCGACGTGCGTTGCACTGTTCAACAGGCGCACAAACGTAGGAATTTTGAACTGTATTGTTACTTACGACGAAAAATAGATTCGTTGGAAAATCGCAAGCGTTTAGAAAAGTGGTTGGATCATGGTTCAGCACCTTAACAATGCCCTAAACGAAAACTTACCCCTAGAGAAGTGATTTGGTGGTCCAGTACCCGTGTGATTCATCACAGATTCCTACCAAACGAAATGAGCATTATTGCAGATGTGTACTGTAAAGAACTTATCAAAATGATGGAGAAGCTCGCACGTCTCCAATAAGCTTGGGTCAATCGTCCTCCTGCTCCTGCACGACAAACGCGCGACCTCATACTGCACAACAGACGGTCTCCAAGTTACAAGAGCTGGGTTTGGAAGCTCTCCGTCGTACGTCGTACTCATCAGACCTTGTGCCTACAGACTTCTACTTTTTTTCAGAATTGGATAACTCTTTGGCGAGAAAAAAATTCAATACCCGAGAGGCAGTACCAAATGTCTTGAAAAATTTGTTGCCTCCCGTCCAGCTGATTTCTTTAAGAATGGCGTCAATAAAATGATAATGCATCGATTGTATGACTGACTACTTAGATTAATAGAAATTAAAAATTTAAAAAAAATACGTTAAATTATTTCATAAACAACGGATATTTCATAGGCAAAGACCTAATATTGATTATATTTTATGTTAATTAGATTAGAATTGGACAAACCAACCTACGGGTGTTCCTAAAAGTAGTTAAAAAAGTGTAGAATGTGTAAAAAATACACCACCGATGCATTGTTTTGTTTATTAATATAATACTCTAGAAAACTGATACACTTCTAATTAAATCTAACTTCACAATTAAATGAAAGTGTGTATCAAAAAACTTCACCTCAGTTCCAACCAGCGCTAAGATTATTAGCCTTTATTAAACGCCGTCATACATATTTTAAATAACTGAAAAATTTATACACCCCCGAAACAAAAATGATTGATGATCTTCATACCGGCTGTACACGCTCGTCTCGTGGCCTCGCGTGCCTCTGTACACGCTCGTCTCGTGGCCTCGCGTGCCTCTGTACACGCTCGTCTCGTGGCCTCGCGTGCCTCTCGTCGGGTTGAGGCGCGATATGAGAACACACCATGTATACACTCGTTGTATCATTTGAACTCCACATGCCTGTTGAGATGGATCTAGATGAAACTGTTGCTGCGTTTTGTCCTTGTTCTATTAGTTATCATAAATTTTTACACATTTACCATAAAAATAAAATTAATAAGCCACGGCACACTCTACTCGGCTTGTCTCGTGGTGTCTTGACGAGCGTGTACAGCCGGCATCAAACGGCTCAACAGATTATTTTATTTGAAACATTAGCTAAGTTTAAAAACACTCGATTAACCGTTCCGTTCAGGAGCTAAGATGACACGGACACACGGATACACATTACAAACTTATAACACCCCTCTGTTTTCGTCGGGGGTTAATAAAAGAAGAAAAGAAAAAATAATATTGTGTTATTCTGCATTCCAAATGAGTTCTTAAATGTTTTTAATATTTCCAGAGAGCCAAACGTCTTAGCGCAGATGCTCGATGAACTTGAGCGCGCGAATCGAACTGCGGTGGCGCCCAACAACAAAGAGGGCGATCCTCGCGGTGACCCCAAGTACTGGGGTCGGGTCTACACCAACTTTGGCGATTACGATGTGCCATACAACAGCGCTGACTGTACATAGATCTGTTAGGGCTTCAACAAAATATTTATTTTTTTCACCTAATCTTAGGCTCAGTTTTGTTGATCGCACGATCAGACACGATTAAAATATAAAATACTTTTTTGCGTTAAAAGATTTTAGACTGATTTTGTGTAAGTACTCTATCTACTATACTATTAATGTACTCGTGGACAGAAAGGCTTACTTTCTCCTTGTCATTTATCAATGTTTGTGGCATATTTCCCTAAACATTGGTAAATGCTAATAAAAAAAGTAAATTTTGAAATGTTTTTTTTTTCGAATTTCATTTGTTTTATTTAACTACTGCGTAATATTGGTCATTCATGTACAACATTTTTAAGACTGTATGCATAAATTTTTTTAGTAAATGTGCATGACTTAAGCTAAGCGTATTTGTACTGTTGTAAGTCAATTTTTTAAGTATTTTTAATACATTAATTACTTCTAATTTTCCGATAATTTAATGACAAACGTCAATAAAAAAAAGTTTGGAAAATTCACGTCTCATAATGATCATGTTAACGTGAAAAAATGTAGAAAAAATTCTCAATCAACAATAGACAACATTTTTTTAAATTTTAGTATGTTATTTATTAATTAATATTATTAAGCTATTGCATAGCTTTTATCGCGGGCTTTGAGCGCGGTGACCAAATCAAGAAATTCCGTAACGAAAAAAACCTAACACCCCAAAACCTAACATCGTCTAACGTCGTTTAAGTTCGGCAGACTTTGGCATGGTGTTTGTGTGCGTGCGACTAGACGTATGCGTGTAGACTAGTTGCATGTATTGTAAAATAATAAAAATATTTTAAACAATAATATAGTTTATTGGAAGAAGCATATTCTTTGGATTTATATGAGTCGTCGTCATGCTAGCAACTTTCGTGAATTTGGAGTATTTAATAAACACAGACTTTATAGAAAATTATCTTTTGTCGGAAGAACTTGTTAATTACCATAAACCCATAGTTTCAATGATAAAAATTCCTGAATAACCTACATGTATTGTAAGATAATAAAATATATTAAACAATATTAAATTCTCATTTATTCAATAAAAGAAAAAAATTGTTTTGTGATATATTTTGTTAGGTATTATTGTTAATTCAAAAAACTTTTAACAGAATTATCTTTAAACGACCAGACATTAACTTAAATATTACTTTGAATAAAACTATTATTTACGGATTTTATCGCGTTTAATTACTTTAATTTATTTTTATTATTATCCCGACGTTTCGGGTGCTTTACAGCGCCCATGGTTACGGGGGGGACTGAGATGTTTGACGTCCCAATGTCATAGTTAGTCCGGCTACTAACTACGACATTGGGACGTCAAACATCTCAGTCCCCCCCGTGACCATGGGCGCTGTAAAGCACCCGAAACGTCGGGATAATAATAAAAAAAAATTAAAGTAATTAAACGCGATAAAATCCGTAAATAATAGTTTTATTCAATGTGTAGTGTTCGCGTAAATTTAAGAAATCTTTAATATTACTTTTTTTTACTTGAATCGTTAATAAAAAAATTCTCATGAACTTTATTTCGTTTTCAAAAAGTTTTCTATCTAGTCATAACCAGTATTTTAATTCAGCATTCACCAAAGAACACCTTCAGGTCACGCCCATAAAGTCCAAGACGTATAAGCACATTTATATAGGTATAAATGCTACGTACTTTTAGCGAAACAATATATTGTAATGAAAATCTGTGTTTATAAAAATAATAATAATATCTCACCTTGGTCAAGTAGGTATCAAATTTGGCGTTTGGAATATGTTGTATTTCTACAGCGATTGATATTTTTCATCACGAACCGCTGTTAACAAACGATACATTAACCCAATCATGACGGCGGCCAAGCCCGGAGTGAGAGTCAGTCAAAGTGTATCTGTATTTGGTAAAATATATTATTACAAGGCTGCTCAAGATAGCGAAAATTTCCGAATTTATCACCAAAAAATAATAATTAAGACTAAAAAAAACAAACAGCTATTTATACTCCATGGCTTCCCACATGATAGATGAAGAGATTAAAAATAGATTGAGTTGAAAAATTGATATTTTCAAAAGTTATCGTGTTTTCCCATCAATGCGGACTTGATAAAACTACTAAAGCCACTAAAACCACTTCTTTAATGTAAAAATAGCAATTAATCGATTTAAAAAATAAAATAAGCTCAACAATCATTTACCTTTCTGAGAATGTGCTTTTTATATAATTTATATGTTCAATATGATTGTTAGATACGATTTCATGCGACAAAACGTCGGATTCTTGATTTTTAGGCGCGATAGAACATACCTACGCTCTTTGCGCTTAAGGCATGCAACAGGGACTTTTTTATGAGCGACCGCATCAGCCTACAAAATAGTTAACGGCTGAGAGTATAAATAAGCTAACTATATAAATACTCCATGGTTCTAGTTATATTACTACTTAATACTATTATTTATTCTGTCGTTCCGGTTCCGGGCCGTACACGTGGATATTTTGTATGGTGTATAAGCCTCCCTGATACAGGAGAAACGCCTAGAGTAGATAATTTAAAAAAAATACATTCTTTTTTTATACTGATATGTTTGTCCGAGATATTTTTAACGTATTTTTTTGTAATTTTGACGCTGCCTGTGTTGTCAAACATTATAAGAATTTCACTGTGTAATTTTTTATTTTTAAAACAATGTTACTAACTTTTTACAAATAATAACAAATTTTGTTAAACATAAAGTGAGATGTATCGATTTCTCCATCATTCCCGCGATTTTTGCGGACCGATATGATGTAGGAACCTTCAAGAAAGTAGTTGCTCATTAAAAAGCCGGCATCTCACCTGTATACTGTTGATTCTTTGATGTTGCATTTGTTTATTGGCGGCGAGTCATAGGTGAGCCGCATGCTCGTTTAGCGTTACTATTACAACCTATTGGAGTCCATAGGCCTTGCCCATAGATTGTCTCATTGTGGGGATACTTACCATGGCTGCCCCGCTTGGAAAGCGGGATGGCAACCGCAGTCCTTTTATTTTTAGTCAATATTAAGAAGACGCTGCAGCCTATCTTCTGATTTGTATCTCACTCTTACGACACCCACGGGATGATATAGGGTACTGGATATTCTTACACCACCACTACACGGTATACTGTACCACATGTTCGTTTGCTCCCCTCTTAATTATAAAATACCCTCGGTGTGAAAGACTTGCAGTGTCTGATGCAGCAATTGTCCAACCGACGCCGGGCAAAGGCAAAGGTGCAAAACGTCCATCAGTTTCATCAGTCAGACGTTTCATATGCATTATGATTTATGATTGAGGATAAATGTGGACGTCTATGGACCACGGCATCCACTTGCCATCGGAGAATTAAAACTATGTTAAATCAAACGCGATAAAATCCGTATATTTGGTTTTATTCAATGTCAAGTGTTCGGCTTAATATAAAAAGTCATAAAAAAGTTTGGAGTCTTTCCAATTTGCAGTTATTTTATCCGTAGTGCTAAAATTCACCAATAAAATTCCATTTCTTGGTTTGCGCTGCATTAAGTATAATAGACAGAACTATAAAACGTGCTAACCACTGACCTCTTTACACAAGCGAATTGCGACTTTTGTTTCTCGTTATCTACAAAAAAGTTCGCGATACACTGTAATATCTACGAATATCTGTCATAGATTAGTTACAATAAGTGCTATCTTATTTAAGAAAATAATAAATATCTTTCGAGTAATTTGGACGCATTTTACGGTATTAAATGAGAGATGTGGATTAGAGATGTCTAAACCACCTCTCTCATCTATTGGAAGCCACGAATATTTGCCATATTTTATAGTTCCTCTAACAATAACACCGGGGCGAAATGAGATAATGCACTTTCTTAATTTAAGATAATAAAACTCTCTCGTAAATAATAAAATTGTTTACTTTTAAATAAATCCAGAAACAAATGTTGATACCTATCTACACACCTATGTATTAGGTAACCAAAAAAAAAAAAACCGATGAATCTATTTTAATTGAACTAATCACAATAACCTCCGGATGGGAAGTTTAAGGCGATACCCCGACCAAAACCTTGCGATAGTGCGTTTTTAACTTTTTTTTTTTTTGCGCATTTATAATTTCGATATCCTATCATCACATTCCACTTTCTAATTTGTTTTATGTGTTATAAATACATTTAAAGTCAACTTTTAAAAAATGATTGAAATTATTGATTATATGCATATGTTGCTAAAGACAACGCTTTAATCATTTGAGGATTACACTAATGGCTAGATAATTAAAAAAATCTAGATCATTTACGTTTCATTTAATTTCTTAACCCATTCAAGGCGGCTCAAAATATCGTCCTTATTACGTAGGGGCGGGCGGTTCAAGGAACTGACGCCGATAGGCGCCGGATGCATCTCATATTTAAACGCTTTGACGCCGATCAAGTTTTCCGCACAAGAAAATGATTTCTTGCTTATTTAGACAGAATTTTCAGTATTATTGAAATATGATCAGGCATTGAAAACCTTTTTTCTGATATTATTAAGTTAAAAATACTTTTAATACTAGTATTTAGTCTACTTTTTTATATGTAATAAGTTGTGGTCGGAATAGGGTGAGTATATTTACCTACAGTTTGAAGAACAGAGACAAAAATTGGAGACTTCCTTAAAACTAAACTTTTTTTACCAATAAATTTACCAAAACTTTAATTACGTGAATTTAAAAGTCTTATTAATTCAATAAAAACGTCTATTGTGTAAATATTCTTCCTTAGAAATTTTTTCACATGGTTCTATATTTTTAAGGAATTAAAAAAAGATAGTTTTTAATTCGACTTTGTTTTTTGTATCTTATGTTAGTTACCCGGTTTTCTGGATCTTGCGGACCGATTATAATTTTTTTTTAAGAAAGTCATGTTTTAGAAGTAACCCCGTATTGATTGTTGAACAGCTACGCTAAGTTACATAAATTATATTATGTAAGTTTTCGGTAGTAACAGAAAAAAAAAACAGATAAACGGATTTGCATCTTGTTATGTGATTTCTCCGAAATTCGTAAACTAATATTGAAGATTTTTGAATAATGATTTTCTCAAGGAAAGGTTTTTTGTTTTATTTAAACTCTCTCAACCCCGCCGGGCCCCACCTCTTTCCTATCACTCGTTCCTTGATTTTTGTCTTGCGCACGAGTGTTCTGTGTTTTCTGTTCTCTTGGTGTTTGATTTACTTTCGACTTGGATCTGTTTTTGGTATTCCGATTTGAAAGTATATTGGTAGCTACTTTTGACTACGGATCTACGATTTTCGCTGACATTTCTTGGACTCCGATATTTCTTTGTGATTTGGATAGCGTTGAATTAGACTTCTATATTCACCGTAAATACTCCGATATTTTCGATTATATTATTTAGACTTCTAAACTCTTTTTATAAAAAATAAGTAATCGATTTAATTCAAGTAGGCTAAAAGTCCCACGTGGTTTTTCGTCACCGAGTTTATTGAGTGACGGTGTGAGAAAATTCGGTTTATAAACCAAAGCAATGAACATTGCCATCCTGAACGTGTTTTATGGCCCTTTTAAGACGCAGCGCTATGTTTTTACTAGATTTTGTAGGTCCAACAATAATAGTTATTCATAATATAGACGAATTTATTTTTGTCATTTGTTAACTCCCTATTGTTCCTTAGCAAACTCACGTCGAAGCACGCCTCATAGCGTGATTTGACCTCAACCTAATTAATTTTGAACAGCGTCCTGGTTTAAGAGTGGAAATGACTAACCAAGGACCCATAGATTACTTTTTAGTTATCGAAAAAATTATGCCTCAAAACTATTAGAAAATACAAATATTCCAAATTTCAGCAGGATGAAAAATTGGCGTCCAATAACCTTTGATGCTCTAAAGACTTTTATTAGCCTACAGATACACGCGGGTTATAATAAAATGAATAATTTAGGGGATAATCGGAAAACTCACTATTTGTACAAATCAGACGTATTCAATCAACACATGCCCAGGGATAGATTTTAAATATATTAAGAGTATTAAAAGTTGTGAATTTGTGAGTATGAGGAGGGCAACGAAAGTTTGAAAAAAATTAAACCGTTAATTGATGCATTTAACAATAAAATGAAATTAATTTACTATCCAACAAGAGACTGGCAATTGATGAATAATTGATGCTTTGTAGGGGCAGACTTTAATTCCGGCAACACAAGATGTCAAAAGCTAAGATAATGCATCAAATTTTATAGTTTGGGCGACAAATTTGGTGCATGCCAAAAACTTCATTTATAATGCTTGGTCAAAAGACAAAATATTAGAAGGGGCGTGGTCATTCCGAAAAAGTAAAATTATTAAGGAATATCTTAATATCGGCCATTCTGTATATGTAAATAATTATTATGCAAGTATATCCCTAATAACACAACTTTTAGAAAAAAAATTTTTGTACGGGAACGCTACGTACAAACAGGGCTGAAAATCCTAGACAATTATCACCGTAACTACAAAAAGGTGAAATAATAATTCTGCAAAACCAAAATAAAATAACTGTTCGCAATCGCACAGTAATAGGGAGGTTCTGTTGGGATCTAATGAACACTATTGCGACATGGTTACTGTACAAAATCCACGGCGACCAGATATAATCACGCTAAAGCAAATTATACTAAATATATGCGCAACGTAGATAAACACGACCAATTAATGTCATACTATAACAGTGAACATAAAACCTTAAAATGGTACAAAAAGTTATTATTCATATAATTCAAATATGTCTCATAAATGCCTATCAATTATTTAAAATTGATATTCAATCGTCAATGTCGTAATATGTGTACAGAATAAAATTGTTACAATTATAACTTCTAGCCAAACCCGCAATCGTAGCCCAACCCACAATAAGACATGACATTTATTTGTCTCAAACTTTGCCATCTGGGGCATTTTATTTCATATACACCCAAGTTTCATGTACGTACACGTCGTAACACCATTCTGCAACAATCACTGATGGACTACTGAATACTGATTACAAATAATACCTAATCATATAAACGCAGCAAAATGTTTAACTATCAACTATGAAATCAAGATTGCTCATAGTATGAACCTGTAACTGTTTTTTAATTCCATAAAATAAAATAGCTAAAATAAATATTCAATCAAAATGTTTTCAATGTTGATAGGCTCTGGAAGACGCCGTTTGCAGACTACGCGTTTTCCGCACCTAAGGAGATTTTTGTTATTTTTCCATAATCATTATTTAAGGAGACGGCGACTATAATGACGTTGTATGTATGTAAAACATGCGCATATAAAAAGTATATCCCTATGGAATAGAAATTGGCGAAGTTATGACTAAAATATAATTTAAGCCGAACGACGTCATCCGCCTAAGAATGACAATTTAAATGACGCTGTTGTGCGTCCACCGGCATGAATGGGTTAAGTTCGCTTTTCTTTTTTAATTGGAATAATTTCAAAAATTTGGCCGTATTTCTTACGCGATATATTGTAGTGAGACCGCGCGGATTGTATAGGACCGAACGATCAAGGTCGTTCGCTAGGAGTAGCGCCTTAAGTAACGAACTTGTGTAAACAATTACAAATCTTTACGTTTATGATTTAAGTACATTAATTTAAGTTTAATTAATAAGTATATATTATATAATGAAGTGAAAAATAAATTAAAACTGAGTTCTTCTTCAATTACAAACTTATAAATCATCTTTAAATATGATCACAACTATTCTTAATATTAAAAGAAAAATAAGATAAGAAAAATTAACAAAATAACAAATTAAAACTATTAATAAAGACTCGAACGATAGTAAAAATTTTTAAGAATCCTAGCCCGCTTAGTCCTTACTCCAGTCCTCGTAGGTTTTTCTTTTTCTTCCAATTTTCTTTTCCCTTTCCCCAATTTACCCTTTTTCGGAGTACCCAAAGGCATTTCTTCATCAATTGCGTTGGAAAATACACCTTCATTGTATTGCTGTGAGGGTATATCTTCTACGGTAGATAAGTCTTGTAATAGGTCTGCCACTTGACCTACGTTTGTCACGTTTTGATGATTTATCTGGTAAATAACACGCGCAAAAAAAGACTTTTTTTAACAAGCTAGGTATAACAAGAAAATTCTGAGATGTAATATTGAAATTAATTTTAATGTTAAATAAAATATTATTTAGTCTATAGTTTTAAGATCTGACGTGATGGTAGTTTAGAAGAGAAGATATTGTTACGACGGCGAGTTGCGTATTGCATCACATTGTACGAGAATGTTCCCGACGACAAGTGTCAGTGGCGTCTATCAAATAACATAATGTGTAGCCATAAAAATAGATAGCGCTGAGACTACTAAACAAGAAGCAACCTTATGTCTACTAACATAAAACCTTTTCTACTTTGTACATTGTTGTCGTTATGTAATCGCCAGTATTCTAGTACTTTCTGGTTTAAAGAGTGGAACGACCTGGATTGGCCAAGAAAGTTCTGTATTCCTTTTACCGAGTATAATAGCGTGAGCTGGCGATCGGATAGTTATGTTATTTAGGAAACGCGAAAGTGAACTCCATTCCGTTAAGCGACTACAAGAATTCAACCTAAGAACTCAACGAAGAAGCTTAGGGATTTTGGACAACGTAATCATAAACTTGCTGTGTGTGTGGAAAACTCTCTGCATTTTACTCACTCCGCACGTAACAATTTTAATGAGTAATGTGCGCGTGAGGAGTGCGGTGTGAGACGACTGAGTAAAAGACAAACTGGTTTGGAGAAGAAGGACACATGTTGTCTAAGATGGACTATTTTGTAAGAAAAAACTTTTCGGAAAAGTAATTAAAGAAGTTTACAACACGGAATATTTTTATTTATTTTCTACTCCCTCACAAAATGATCGTGGAATGCATAGTATATAAGGCGGTCAAACCTTCTCCGCAGCACTGAGCACATCCACAACGGGATCGGGACTCCCACGACTCGGAAAGCACGTGAATGTCTATGTAGTTGGTTCAGCATCTGATCTCTCTCCGGTCGCGTAGAATTTTAGTCCCATCGGACTGTGAGAGTAAGGGAATAAAGAGTGCTCCCGTGCCGCGCATTAGGTTAAGTATTAAGCATGCCACACACTACGCAGATAATTTTATCGTGAAGTATCTGTAAGCACCGACATATTAATTCAAAAGATAGTGAGAACATTATCTGCTCATACAAATATATCTAATAGCATCTACAGATACAAATATCGCGTAGGATTTTACCTGCAGATAAGTACAGGATGGTCGCTAAAAATGCATATAAATTCGCCTTGGTCTTTTTAAGCTATACGTAGCTACTATACGTTCTATGCAAATTCTTCGCCTTTTAGTGAATGCTAAATGCTAATGCAACACGTGCAACAAAATCAAATTCTGAATCCTACTCTGATGAGCTGTGTAGCAAATCTAGAAGCGAGTAAACCAACTCATTGTAGGTAACACTCTGTATCAACAATCCGCTCCAAAAAACAAGTCTAGTAAGTTTGAAGGATTTCGAGTGAATGTATCATTTCATATATCATCGTATCTGCGTAGTGTGTGATACGTTCAGATAATAAAGTTTTTATACGCAGATAAAATATTACCGTATCTGGGTAGTCTGTGACTCGTTTAACCCTGTCCTGCGCAGATGGCTCGTATACATTGAGACTGGCCGCCGTCACTGAAACTCGGTCGGAGGACATTATATAAGGTGGTCAAAGATCTACATACCTTGTCCATCAAGCTAGACACATTCTCAACGAAATCGGGTCTGCTCTCTTGCGAGGCAAAGCTTCCTTCTAGAAGACGATTATCATTGTTTTCTGCTCCCTTGTTTAGGAACAATTTGCCTATCACTACTTTCAGTCGATTCTTGTTTATATTTTGTGGGATTTCCGGGCTAATTGAGGAAGAAAAGTAAAAAGATTTTGGTATGTTAAATAGTGCTGCCCTGTTATGACTTAAGGACTTTAAAGAAAAAAGAGAGTCTTACTGTTTATTTTTATAGAATAAGGCTGACAGACGAGAACACAGGCCACTTGATTGTAAGTGAATGCTGTGGCCTACTCAGAGATGTCTACATCTACCCTTGATAAATAATTAAAATGCAGATGCATCAGCATATTATTTCTTACGTGGTATAGCCACACTCAGCTATATACAGTTGTAGCATAAATGGGTCGACTCGACCAGGGCAGTACCACGCTCTTACAGAATACCAGCGTAAAATTGCAGCGTAATGCTGCTGTGTGTTGTGTTCGTATGGTGAGTGTAGAGAACCGGAGACCCTTTTCACTAGAATCGAAGCATTCCATCTTAGTCCTCAGGCGTGACAACGCATTTGCATTTGGATTCTTAATTAAGGATAAATGTGGCCACAGCATCCACTTACCATCAGGTGGACTCTGTGCTCGTTTCTCACCCAATGCTCTAAAAAACTACTAATATAAAATATCTCATTTCCTTTAAAAAGGCCACCTACTCTCTCTACACACACCATACGAAACACAGTAGCATTAAACTGTTACTTTACGCCGGTATTCTGTGAGAGCGTCGTCCTTCCCCGATCCGTCCTTACAACTTATTTTGAATTCTCGACTAAACGTTTGCTTTATATGTTGGTTTTTATTACACATTATGTAGAACTCGTTATACATCATTATACTGTTAGTTACCAAAAACTATTTTCCTATAGTTCATTGAAGTAATATGTACTTACGTACTAGAACAGCTATTTCAAACAAAAAATGTTCGCTTCTCTGTTCGCGCAGTTGGTTTTTTATCATAGAATAAATATAGGTAGAACTATCAGTAGGTAATAGTAGATTGTATTGTTAAATAGGCAACTTATATCGAGAACTATTTTTAAATTTTGTCATTTATTTTGTATATTACATTTGCTTATTTAATATAAGTACCCGGATGACCGAGCTTTGCTCGGTTTTTTTTTAAGTTACATTTATATACAAATTACATGAATAATAGTTTTTGATCTTATTGACATAACAGAAAAAACTGAACTGGTTATTTGAATAAAAAATCATCAATGCAATTATATTAATTAAAATTTTGGTATTTTTAAAAAATACTAAAAAAAGGGCTTGAAATAATAGATTTTCTCACAAAAGAAGGGAACTTGAAAAAAAAAAGGAAAAAAAGTCGGACTCAAGTCGGGACGCGAACCACGGAACTCCGATATCACGCCCGAACAACATCCCATCTGAGCGATTACGATCGTTAGTAACCTGTCAAAATTTACCTTCTTATATTGTAGCAGTTTTTTTATTGCCTGAATACCCAAAACAAAGGGGCATTTTCTAAAAATAAATCCTAGCTAGATCGATTTATTGCCCCCGAAACTCTCTGGACATTAAATTTTATGAAAATCGTTGGAGCCGTTTCCGAGATTCCGATGATATATATATATATATATATATATATATATATATATATATATATATATATATATATTTGCTCGTTTAAAGGTATAGGATATTACATGATATTTTATCACAATTACATTTTAATGATATTTTTTATCTCAATCAATCAAAAAGGTATCTATGTCAAATATAAAAAAACATACTAAATGTATGTTTAACAAAACTTATTAATATAACATTTAAATTACAATTATATTTATTTAAATTTATATTAAAATTAGAATAAGAGTCGTTCATTAAATACTGGGCACGCGAAAGTTAAAAATGGACGAATTTATTCCACTTTGACTTCGAAGTGGAAACTTAAAAATAAAATAAAAGAATAATGAGCAGATTTAAATATAAAAAATAGCCTAATTACGATAACTTATATGTTTCTACAAAAAAATGTGTATAATAATATACTCGTCCTATACTTATATTAGTACCCACAGAAATGTCGCATCTGAACAAATTAATTTCATAATCTATATTCCATGACACGAGTGGCGTCTTATAGGAATAATTTGTTTTATTATTAATATATAATACTTTTTTATTAATGTAGTATCTTATTAACCGATGAAAAGTAATTCCTTGGTTTTTACTGACATTTCTTGAATTATTTGTGCAATATCTAAGTACACACGACGGCATATTTTTATCAAGAGATTTTTTTATAAATCGACACAACACTGTGACAACTTTACACGCGCCTAGCGAGTGACTGATTAAAGTGCGGGGTAAGCACCGCAGTTGAATGGAACAGAGTAGCTGAACGCAGTGTCGCCACTAGTACGTACTAGTACATAATAGCTCAATGCTATAGTTGATGTATTACGGATCAACATAACCATCAACATAAGGTCATGAACTCATGGATGCTTTAAAGTAGATACTCGAATTATCGAAAATTGAAAGCATGTTAAAATTACATGTAAATTTGAGATATTTTAATATCAAAATTACATATGAGAATATATCGTCGTGTAAACACGGTCATGACGATAAATTACTATTATTTTCGTGTACCTATTACTTTCACGGTGGCAAGACTGCTTTCGCGACATTTGACAGCTTAAAAATAGTTTCTTTTGCAAACTTTTTTTGACGCAGTTCCGAATCCACCATCAACCTTTTCTACGTTATCTCTTTTTTAGCACTAAGATCATATTGAATAAAACTGTTATTTACGGATTTTATCGCGTTTAATTACTTTAATTTATTTTTATTATTATCCCGACGTTTCGGGTGCTTTACAGCACCCATGGTCACGGGGGGGACTGAGATGTTTGACGTCCTGGGCTCACCTGTGTCTCCCATAGTCGCCTACATATTCATGGAGGACTTTGAGGAGAAAGCCCTTCTTACTGCTCCTGTAAATCCAAGGTTCTACAAGCGGTACGTAGACGACACTTTCACAATTTTACCATCTGACAAAGTAACTGCATTTTTAGACCACCTTAACTCCATAAACTCTAAAATACAATTCACAATGGAGTTAGAGACAAATAATTCTTTAGCCTTCCTAGATGTTTTAGTCATCCGAAATCCTGATAACACTATTGGTCACACTGTGTATAGGAAAAAGACCCATACAAACCGATATCTAAATGGTGAATCTCACCATCATCCTTCACAGTTAGCTACCGTGGGTAAATCTTTGTTTCAGAGAGCACGAGGGATCTGTGACAGAAAACATCTGGCCGCGGAGCTTCAGCACGTTAAGCAAGTATTGCAAGACAACAAGCTTCGGGTCCCGCGCCTACGTCACAGTGAACGAGTGAAGCCGGCCACAGTCGAGCGCGCGCCTGCTCTACTACCATATATCAGAGGAGTCACGGACAAGATTGGCTACATCTTGAAGCGAGCGTCCATTAAGACATACAAGCCGCTGAAGAAGATTAGTCAATTTTTACCATCCATCAAATGTAATATTCCTCTACAAGATGCAACAGCTAGATTGTGAATGTGGTCTCTCTTACATAGGTTAAACAAAGAGATCTATAAAAACCCGCGTGAAGGAACATATAGCTGATGTGAAGCACCGGCGCTCCGGGAAGTCTGCAGTCTGCGAACATGTTCAAGATCGTCCCCACCATTACATTAGATTTGATAAACCACAAATTCTCGCAAAAGAACACCGATTCCTACCAAGGATGATTCGCGAGGCTATTGAAATTAAAAAACATTCAATAGAGAAGATGGTTGGATGCTACCATCTACTTGGGATCCTATAATTAACAAAATTAAACCCAAACCCAAGCATACCACTGCAAGACTTCATGATACTATAAGCTCGTGTTGCGTAAATCGGACCAAAAATTAATATTAAAAAAAACTGAAGGTAGCCGGACTAACTATGACATTGGGACGTCAAACATCTCAGTCCCCCCCGTGACCATGGGTGCTGTAAAGCACCCGAAACGTCGGGATAATAATAAAAATAAATTAAAGTAATTAAACGCGATAAAATCCGTAAATAATAGTTTTATTCAATGAGTAGTGTTCGCGTAAATTTAAGAAATCACTAAGATCATAATTTGAGTGATCTCGTTTACGAAGGTCACAGTCCACACATAATGCCACACAACACAACTGAGCCCGGCGGTATTTTTCTCAACTGAAGAAGCGCGCGCTTTTGCTTGTAACACGGAAAATTTTTTCCACGAATTTTTAAAATTGACAGAATTTGATGATTATCACTTTTGTGACGATATATTCGTACATGTAATTACGGTATTATTTACTCGTAGTTTAGCTAATCTTACCGGCTTATCACAAAACGTGGTCTACTTAGGCGCGTTTTTCTATCCTCGGATCAAATTTACTCGTATGATAAATTACGAATATGACTTAAACTTATTTAAAATTGTTGTACGAGTAATTATTTCAAGTATTCATATTCACTCAGATTATAATTTTTTGATGGATAAACTTTTAACTTACGATAGAAAAATTAGTCCTTCGTCTAAGGTTTAGAATGAAAAAAGCTAAATATGCGAACTTAAATGTTATTTTTCGAGTTTGACAGCAAGTATCAAATTTCACATAGACAGTGGCGACAATAGAGTAATACGAGCCACCGGTGCACCGAAGGGGAGCAATCGTCTGTCGGCACGAAACTCACACATAACAATTTAAACAATAACAATTTCACACACAAATATATAAATTGTAACAGTATCGCTCTGTGACAGCGACAACTCAGACACAGACTCGGATCAGTCGCTCGACCGATGTACATATTGTCATATTGGCCTCTTCTTAAACCATAGTTTGAAACCGAGACTATCAATAAAGAACTTTCCGTGATAAGTCGGAACATGTTTTATGAGGATGTGTAGATGTAGGTACTCACTCAGTATCCTTGAGTGCGTCTAAAACTCCGTGAGAGCGCAACAAGTCGACGAGTTTGCGTGCGTTTCTATTAGACACGCCCAGATCAGAAAGTTGCGCCACGCTCACACAAGTGCGCGTTAGACACCAGCTCAGCGTACGACGGTATATGCACAAGCTCTGTAATTCACATAGAAACAGAAACTTTATTATTCAATGTAGATTATAACAATACTTATTGATAGTCACTTTTTTCATTTACCACTGGTTCGCAAAAAAAAAACTCTGTCCTGGGAAGAACCAGCAAGAAACCCAGCGGGACTATTTTTCCAATAATAGCTTACAATCATGTTTACAATTAACAACACAAGACAAATTAGAAATAGCTTGGTAGCGATCACCCTTCCCAGGGGTTATTATCATCCATAAATTCCTTAATATTTTATTAACCCTTTTCATACAAACTTAGTTTAATAACATTTTTGAGCTTTGTGTATGACAAATTTTGTATATTTTCTGGGATTTTGTTGTAAAAGTGTATACATCGCCCCAAGAATGAATTACTGACTCGGTGGAGTCGAGTAACTGGTACTAGCTTGTATCTGTTCCTAGTATTTACAGTAATATCACTTATTTTTGCAAAACTGCTTTAATTTTTGTGTACGTACATTACATTTTCATAATGGAGGCCGGAGTTAATATATTAATTTCCTTAAATTTTTGTCTCAGTGACTCTTTTGGTTTTAAATTATACTCTAATTTTTTTTTATAAAAAAAATATTAACAATGCTATAAACATTACTAATATTCCCGTTAACCACTCGTGGTAAGCTTAAATTGCTTGTGTTACGAGTGGTTCACGCCAGTAGTCGAATGGCGGATTCGAACCCACGACCTATTTGAGTTCGCGATCCGCGCCCTGCCATTAGACTACTGTCGCTTTATATATTGCTCTAATGGCCCTCTTCTGTAAAATAAATTAAATTTCAGTGTCAGTCGCGTGTCCCCATAGCAAACCATACGACATAATACTATGGAAATAACTAAACTATTCTAGCTGTTTCAACACTGGTAAGAGTTCTAATCTTTTTTACAGCATATGCTGCAGAACTAAGTCTGCTAGCTAGTTTTGATATATTGGGGAGCCATTGAAGCTTTGCGTCTAGTGTGATTCCAAGAAAAATGGTAGCATCAACAAGACTCAGTTCCTCCCCATTTAAAATTACATTAGTATAACATTAGGAGTTACGAATTTTATACATTTAGTTTTAGTTCTATTTAAATGCAAATTATTAATATAAAGCCAATTGACTAACTTAGCTATAGCATTATTTACTTCGTCGTAATTTAATAACTGTCGTTTTAATTTGAAAATTAATGAAGTATCATCAGCAAATAATACTATCATTATACTATGTAAGGTATATATACAAGAAACAGAAAGGGGCCGAGAATTTAGCCCTGAGGCACGCCCATTTGTACAATCGACCCACAAAAACTCATACTATTAATGACAACTTTTTGGGTTCTGTCACTTAAATATGAAATAATTAATTTAAGAGCATCACTTCTTACACCGTAGTGTTGAAGTTTCCTGATTAATGTTTCATGGTGAACACAATCGAAGGCTTTGGATAGGTCACAGAATACACCCAGAGCATCCTGTAAATTCTCCCACGCATTGTCGAGCGACAAATTTATATATATATATATATATATATATATTTGCTTATATACGTCCCATACGTACCAAGCAATGGCGGTGGAATCCACTACTCCATATCGTTCTGTGTATGTCGTAAGAGAAAATCATCAATCAATTAATCAATCTTCCTAATTACGACTTAAAATAAAAAAAACAGCAGTTGCCAATCCGCTTGCCAAGCGTGGCAACTATGTCAAATATCTATAGCTAAGTAACTTTAGTTTTATATTAATATATTAAAGGTTAAATGTTGCATCATTATCTGGCTCGAAGGACCGTTTTATTAAAAATATTTTTGCATTTAAGAATAGGTTATCCGGCAACAGGCTTTCATTTCCTAAAAGTATTGCATTTTTTCACGACGCTAGGCAGACAGGTTGTTGATAATCTCGCACAGGTAATGTTGTTCTCCATCACCAGTGTAAGGGTTTCATATAAAACATTTTTGGATGGATTTTAAGTCATTAGTCGGTCGTTACACGTGAGAGCCTCGCCCATCAGTTAGTATGGTGAATAGCGAACACTCCGTTACCGTTACCGGTACAGCCTATTTAAGTCCACTGCTGCACCTGTTGTCTCGTAGGGGGAATATTTGGCATAGTTGCCACGTTTGGCAAGCGGGGTGACAACCGCAGTTTTTTATTTGTAGTCGTTATTAGGAAGACGTTGCTGCTCGTAGCATGATTTATTTCCCTCTGTCGCCTCTTAAGAGGGATATAAATATATGTAACAATACACAGTTTATCAAAATTTTTCATATCATATAACTATAAAAAACAACACCGTGTAGCCTCATGGTTACTGGTTGGGGTATGGATCTATAACGCCGTGTATCCACAAAAGATTATGTACAAATACTGCTTTAACTGTTTATTTAAGAATGGAAGAAAACCATATCAAGGAAAGGATTGTTCACGGATGATAAGTAGGTGTTGGCATAAATAAGACTCACAGTAGACATGGGTAACGCTGCGCCGCGCTGCCAATGCCCTAGCTCAGTTCACTGCGCTGATGCGCTAAATCACTTATTCAAAATGTAGCGCACAGCACTGCACCGGAAAATTGGAAAGGTGTGAAGTTGCTATTTTATATTGTTTTTACAAACTACAACTCCGTGTAATGTAAAAAAGTGATACATAGTATCTAATATCTAGGTTTAATATCTATGTCTAATGTATAGGTCTAAAATCAAAGGTACCCATGTCTAACTTACAGATCAGAATGGGTAATGTTTTGTAATGCTCAAAAATTTGCATTTGATTGCCACATAATGTCAGGATCTCACCAATTACATCAATTACATCAAAAATCAACTGTTATAAGTTATAATCACATAATAGTTACTTATGAGTATTACGAAATTGTGAAATATAACAATGGTTATGAAAAAATAATTTCAGTATAAGTGATACAAAGCGAAACTGATCAGTGTTACCTCCCTCTGCTTGAGTCCGAGTGATTTCAACCTGACATCGGTGGGCTCTCGCGTGGGATCGGAATCTGAGCAATTGGTACAGCAATGTCGCTCGATACTCGCGATCTGTTCTTTCAGCACGCCGAAACAAACCGCGTGCTGCTTTGTCTTGCAGTAACTTTATACAGTAAAGATAAGTATTTAAGTCTACAGCTTTTTTATGAAAGTGCACCTGATGATATGTCGTACTTTAAGCAAAGGCAAAGATTAGACAGTTAGAGAAGCCAATTCGATAGAAACGTGACTCAAGTTAATTCGTGTTGAAAGTCATGTAGGTATATTTGTTCTTCCACCCAACTCCGTTATTGGGCACAGAGTAATACGATGTTAGCACTAGTGTTGGAACCACTATTATTACTAAACTCAGTAGGTAGAATTGAAATAAAAACGTAAGGTAACCTAGGCAATTAACGCCCACCTAACTTAAAACGAAATTTATGATGTTATTAATTAATGAAATTAATTATAAGTATTGTATATTAAACGTATTACAATATATTACAGAATTGTAAAATGAAAATTTTGATCCATTATTAATTACAGTTCCACATCAGTACAACTTTTTAATAAACCGTATTTTGGGCGTTATTAAATACAAACATATTTTGTAAGCCATTTTTACTAACACAATATGGATGTACAAGTTGTCCGAAATAAATGATTTATTATTATTATTATTATTAAAAATACATAGTTTATTAACGCCCGTTTGAGTTAAGTTTTCTGATAAGAATACAAAATTAAGGTAAAAAATCAACAATAAACACAAAAAATAGTAAACTTCGCAACGCATGTAACATTACTTGTAACTTCTTTTTAGTCATCATTAATAAAACAAATTCTACATTTAAATTTGTAATAAATACTAGCATAATACTATATCTACTACTACTACTATACCACTAAACCAAAAAAAGAAACATATTTTTTTTTGGTTTAGTGGGCGTTATTATGCGATGGTGGATTATTGCGCCCTGTATTATACTAGGTAATGTCGCCCTAGACCCTAGCTGTCTTATTAATAAAAATTGCTTATTCAAAGCTTAATTCGAAGTTACACTTGGACTAGCTAATCTCAGAGTAACTGACTATTTACTTCTTTATTACAATGTTATTAATAAACATGAAGTAACCTCGGACTAACTATACATTCCTTACGCCGGGATTAACGCTTGCGCTATGGCAACCCAAGTAAAAAGAGTGAGTCAGTGAATGATTGGTGAATGAATTCAATGCTTGTTGATGACATTAATGACAGTGACAGGCAATATTTTGAGTTTGACAAGAGATACGTGTTACGTGTTGTTCCTTGTTCCTCGTGTTGATTTCGGACTCGGTGGAAAAACTAAGTTCTAAATATAATAACTTTTAATATTTGTAACGAAATTTTAGAATTAAGAAAAGAGCGTGAAGGGCAAAATTAATTAAACATTTTGTTTTGTTCTTTGGGGATAAATAAAACCTTTTGTACATGTAATTATTGTATATTTATTTTAAAAAATCGTTAATAAATGCTGCCCGAACAGAATTTCCTCTAACGGAGTTATTTACTAATTGCGTGACTGGTACATTTTCATCATCTCCTTATACTACATCCTCAAGCAGATTTTGTTTTTGCATTGCAATGTATATAGTTTTGTATGCTCTTATTTAGTATTTAGTCCTCGCAGTAAACACCGAAACCTTTGCTTTCCACCAAAGCATTGTTCTACAGTTTTACGGGCCCAGATATGCGACCGGTTGTACATTCCTTCCTTTTGTTTATTATGACGCAGAATAGGAGTGATTAAATAAGGAGTACAAGCCTAACCAGAATTTTCGAGAAGTCTGCCTTTAAATTCTGACTGCTCAAACTTTTTAATGCGACTTTCATTAGATATTCTCGAGTCATGCGTGCTGCCTTGCCAATGTGCCACTGTATCCATGACCTCTAAATTTGCATTTGACACAACCTGGAACAAAGCACTCATAACTTCTTTAATATGAAATAATGGTTTGAGGTGATTGTATTGAATCTAAGAAAATAACTAAGTACCTATATGGCAAAGATGGGCTAGCTAGGTGCTATAAAACTTACTTGTACATTTATTTAACTGTATCCTTTCCAGTTTATGTAGTATTGTCCGATGTTTCCAGCGACTTTAGGGATTCGAATATGTGGCAATCAATAGCCCCAATCACTTGTCTAAATCCACATAATAAAAACCTGCAATAACTTTGTTCTGCTCCACATCACTTCTTGGCATTTTAATCCATTATGCTGTTTTTGTTACTAGTGCTTATGAATTTAACACGGGTAACAACGCGTGTAAACGTAAAGTTTTACAAAATGTCAAAATACGCGACTAGTCTATGCTTACTCAAGTCGTTAAACTAGGTACCGCCAAGGATTAACTTTTATTCCGAGAGTAGATTCGGATTAGTTTACTCCCTCCTTACTCTATGTTTATTAATACTGAAATTAGATATTTTAAATTTTAATCCCTGGACCTGGTCGGAGCCATTTTACTAACCTGGGTAGGTAATATTTAACATAAATAATAAATGTTCAAAACAAATACTTTTACGGATTTATATCGCGTTTATTTTTACTTTTTATTTTTAATTCCCGACGTTTCGGGCGCTTTCCAACCCATGGTCAGGGGGACTGAGATGACTGACGAATCCCGATGTCATTGTTAAACCCGGAGTTCATTTTGCATAGATCGGACCATAAACAATAATTAAAAAAGCTGAAGGTACTCCGGGTTTAACAATGACATCGGGACGTCAGTGTTCATCTCAGTCCCCCGTGACCATGGGTGCTGGAAAGCGCCCGAAACGTCGGGAATTAAAAATAAAAAGTAAAAATAAACGCGATAAAACTTCCGTAAAAGTAGTTTTTTATCATGTGAGCAATGTTACGCGTATAATATAAGAAATCATTATAATAAATGTTTTTCCGAATTTTTTAGTAACTAAGTTTTATTTTCGATTTAGCTTGGTTACGTACAGCTTAAGTTCTTTAGACATGATTAAGAAATTTTTTATATTGAAATTGTGGTGTCCACTAATTTAAGTGTAGGATTTTAGTAAAACAACTATATCAGTAAGTAGGTACACAGCACAACGACAACGTCCACTCGCCACCGATGACGGATCGGCAATGCGAGTGAGGCACCACCGTTGGTCTCTGTACTATATTTAATTATACATATATCACAGAAATAACATAATAAATACATTAGGCCTATAACGCCCATTTGTCAATTAACAACTTATATAGGCTAATACCGCCCAACTGTTTTTTACTGGGCGTTGTTACCGGAAAGGGAATTGTTATTCAGTCCACGTATTTTAATACAATATTACAGAAATAAACTCAAAATATCGTAGCATAGTCTAGAAAAGTTGTAAACTAGTAAATATTACGAGAAATATTACGAAAAATGCGGTAAAACAAATAAAAACTTACAATTTGCTGGAGCAATTTTTATAATAACAGTGTTCACAACTGACGTTCGAGATGCGAAGCGCGTCAAGATGCAGGCGCGAGAGCATTGTCGTCGTGCTCGTGCATTCGTATAGGTATATTTTATGTTTGTATGAGGTGTAACACAAATCATAAGAAATTAATAACGTTTTTATAAGATTGGGCGTTATTAAACCACGGGCGTTAATTGCCATACCTACTTATTTATAGTGCTATATGTATTTTTTGGTTTGCGTTACAGCCTACTGAAGTCCACCACTAAACATAGGCCTTCCCCATAAATAGATTTTTGTTTTTATTCGTTATCAGGAAGACGCTGCCGCCCAGCTTCCGATTTGTTTTCTCTCTGTCGCCTCTTACGACAATACCTATTTTAAATAACAAAACTAATTGTATAGACAATCTTCACAAAATAATATAACTCTAACCTTACGATGTATCGTAAGGTTAGAGTAAATTTATTTTTAACAATTGAATTATGTACCTGTAGATACATAAAGAATTTATTATTACAATATATATATATTTTTTAGCTTGTTCGCATGTTTCCTTTAGTAGGTTAAATAAGAATCGAGTTAAATTGAATTAGTAAGTTGAAATGACCAATCACTAATGTGCATTGTCACCTCCGAGGACAAAGCTGGAATGCCTCACAGCCTTTAATTATACAGGCTTTCTATAATACCCTTCAGATCAGAACATGACAGTACAGGCACTGCTGCACAGCGGCCAGAAATTGGTGAGAAGGTGCTTCGGGCAGAAGAGTCCCATCATTTAGTGAAGCAGGACAGCCTTTCCAAAACGACCAAGACGAATGCATTTTCAATTTTCAAGAGCCATATTAGATTAAGCTCTCAACGTATGTTTTTTGGGAGCAAACAAAATTTCCGTCACATTAGCAATACAAGCGATACCTCTGCGAAAAAAAGCTTTGTGAGTAAATCTTAATGTGTCGTGTAGTGTAAGAAAATATATATTATTAAAAAGAATATTAACAATGCTATAAACATTACAAATATTCCCCTTAACCACTCGTGGTAAGCTTAAATTGCTTGTAATATTATACTTTACTTCGTCGTAAGAACGATGAATATGTTTATATGTAGAGCACGCTGCAGCTACATTATGGTTGTAGCACGAATGGGTCGCCACGACCGTACAAAGACCGCCCTCTCACAGAAAACCAGCGTTCCATAGCAGCTCAAGAATACTGTGTTTCGTATAGTCAGTGTAGAGAACCGGAGATCCTTTTAACTGGAAACGAGGCATTCCATCTGGCCTCCATCCTCTGAGGTGAAAGCTCATCTGCATTTTAATTCTTATTACAAAATAGATGTAAATGTCTATAAGCCACAGTAACAGGTTGACTGTGTGCTCGTTTGTCACTATATTCTATAACAAATGCCAACACCTCTTGGTTTGAAAAGATGGCGGCACAACCATTTCGTTTATCCTGGACAGAATATACTCAGGTCGGCGAGCAAGGCTGTTACGACAATGGCCAATATAACTGCCAAGTGTAACGATTTTAGCACATACCCTATACAATGGGAGTGACTCATCAACAGCAGTGATTTTTTTACGTACAGATAATGATGTCAAGTATTGAACTTTTTCTGGGGTTTTGTTGTTAAAGCGTAAATATAGACTCATAAATCCATTCAATCCAATAAATCATCCAGGTCCAATGCTGAATATAGGCCTTCCCATAGATGTCTCTTAGTGTGGATTTTGTACTCACCACAGAAATCGTAATAAAGACAATAAAAGTCGCATAGAGGCGTGACCAGTGTCGCTGCTTATATGGGTTGACAAACATGATTCACCATTTTGTGATTTAGTTGTGGGAAGTTAATTTTTGTTATTATAAATTTATAATGGTGCACTGCTGCCTTTGAGTATTCAACCAACTGGAGAGGCCATGCGCGTTAATTCCTAAACAAAAATTCTGTCAACATCAGGGGGGCGCAAGAAAAACACACTACTGTATACTTAACTACAAATGCAAAATTAAATCGCGTCACTATAAACGCACACTACAGCATTTGTGTTTGTGTTCATCGCGTTTACGCATACCATCAAATTGTACACGTTTCGATGCACTGATGGCGCTTTCTGAATGCGTAAGCAACGTAAGGCGAGGACTATGTTGATGTTTTTTATCGATAAATAAATCACCATAGTCCGCATAAGTTTTTATTTGATTATAAGTAATACATAAATAAATAATACCAAGGTGCTATTTGAAATTCTTTTTTTAAAGTATTTAGAAATGTTCTTCGGAAAAAACATAGAAATTATTGAAAATAAGTTTATTATTTTGCTACAGGTTTATTTTAAATTATGCAGGATAAAATTTAAATCATTTAACAAATCGAAATAGGTTTAGTTAACTTATTTTAAAAATCAGATTTTTTGAAATAAAAGTCCTATCAGTTTATCGTCTTAGATGGTGTTAACAAAGTTTTGGTTTTTATTATAAATCTTCAATCACAAAACCGCTAATTAAAAATAGTTGTTGATTTTCAAGAGTTATTAAATGTACTGTCTGGAAAATATTTAATAAATTAGGAAAACAAAAAAGTTTTACACTATATAATAGTTTAACAAAGCGAACTTTAAGCAGACAGCAGAAAGATGTTTTGTTTTAACTTTACATTACTATTCACCGAAAGCTTAATAATACGAGGTATTTCGTATGTGCGAAATATTAAAAGTTTTGAAATTGGTCTGCCTTCATCATATACTACAACAAAGTGGTACAGTACAATTTATGGCCGACTTGGCTACACAAAAAAATTGCGTTAACTGTTTTAAAACTTAGACTAGAGAGTAACCCTGACAAGAAATTATATTGTATATTAGTGATAGATGAAATGACAATAAAACAATTGACGGAGTACCATGCAAGTTCTAAAAGACATTCTGGTTATATACATAATGCCTTTGGCTACTAGCATGGTATTCTGTCGAATGCTTAATTTTCATTTCATCCATTACCAAGGTACAATAAAAAAATTTACAGGGTTACTCTCCGCTCTCAATTTTAATGCCGTCAGCGCTTCTTGAGTAAACCCTGGTCGGCGATCGATGGTAGTGTACCACTTAGTCAATGACGGGTGCAGGCAAACATGTTCCAAAAGTTTTACGTAAATAGCGTTAGGCTTTTGGTGAATAATAGTTAAGTGTTAGGGCATAGTATTTCTTGCAAACTTGTGAAGCCTGTTTATGCTATTGTTTTTTTTTATTTCATGGCATTTTTTCATTTTAATTTTCCTTGGTCTAAGTGTTGGCTCGTACTCGCAGTGAGAGTAGGACTAGTTCGGGCTATATAAGGATTTTTTTTCGAATTGTGACTTTCGAGATAACTTATGGAATTTTGCCGAAAGATCCAGCTTTCTTTTTTCGATGTAGACGACATTGTGCAATCACCACGATCACCCTAAAATAAATTATTTTAAAACTTAAAACGAGCTACATGTTTTGTCATTTATGGCATACAAAAATCATACTACATTAAGTTTACAATTACAATAATAGATATATAAATATATGAATTAAATTTGATAGGTTAGTGCTTTTGTAAACCTAATAAAATATTTTCAAGTAGAATAATATTGGTGTCAAAGGTAATAATAAATAAAAATAATAAAAATATTTAATCTAAATATAATTACAGCCCAACATTACCTCCCACAAGTTCAAGGTTGGTACTGCAGTGTCAGGTTCATGGTTTCTACAAGCTACAAGCCAAGTGTGCCGCCTAAGAGGATCTCTTGGAAATCTGTAATAACAAACCAATAATAGAAAAATCTACTACTTTTTGTAATACTTTATCATAAAATCTAAATAAAAACTACAAACCGGTTCGGCAGACAAACCCGCATGGTTAATTAACTTATCGATAGCTAAAGTTGCGGCGTTCATCACTATAGTGCACTATAACTTTCGGTTGCCCAGTTTATTTTCATAAAAATTGCACACTTTTGCTGCGAGGTAGCAAGTTTCGATTTGACTTATTTGGCCTGTATTTTGTATAATATTTTAATAACTACTAGTTATCGATTATATTTAATTATATTATATTCAGTATCGTGTTAAAATTGAGCTGAATATATAAATCATTTAACGAAATCCATTACACATTTATATGTAATGATTATTATTCATCACAAACTGATTTAGTTATTAGGAAATATATTTTCGTTAATATAATATATAACTTGTGTAGTAAATTATATTTATTTAAAAATAGATTATTTTTCACTTTATGAACTATGATGACTACACTCGGTATTGGACGATAATATTCACAAAGTACGAGTTTTAATGATAAAATTACTTTAATATTATGTTAAAAATACTCACAGATGAAAAGATACATGGTCCTTTTGTATACTTGACGTTTTTGATTGTTTTTTTGCATGTAAATACACTGCAATTCGGTATTTTGTCGGAGCTCGATTTACTGGGACGATCACTTCGGAATGACGCACGACGCGGAGCAACTAGTTTTATATAACTAGTATGAGTCGGATTCTCGTACCTTTTACAGAGGGGTATGCCTTGCGATGCCGTCTCCTTTGGTTTAATACTCAAAGACTGCTGAATAATCAGTTGTAAAAACTCATCAAGGACGTGTAATTAAACTAATAAAGGCATAGCATTTCATCAGTAAATTGATTATTTACTAATTATCATTGTTTTAATAATTTACATCTAGATGAACATTTTACTATGACATTTACCTTTGCAAACTCATTTATTACTTTTCGCATTGTACTATTACCATTGCTGCTTTCCTTCTAAAGTAATACGCGACACATGCGACGTTGACAAACTCGCCAAGCAATGTAATGTGAATATTAGATATCATTGTGCATTGCGTATGTTTATAATACGGTATGATGTAGCGACATCGTCGGTTTTGGAAGTAATCGAGCGCTAATTTATTTCTATTGCCTTATTATTACGATTTCTGTGGTAGGTACTCACACTATAAATATACACACAATAAATAAATAAAACAATATCAGAAAAAAACTCACAAGCAAGTGAGCATATCCGAGGAGTCGTACACTTCGTCAATGTTAAAGCTGTAGCACGGACATGTATATGGTTCTTCAGGTATATGTTTGCGAGATGATGCTGGAAAACAACCATTTTTATCGACAGTGTATAAAATATTTAAAACTATCCATACTATTAGATAGTAACGATTTAGGTTTAATAACTGCTAACATACGCAAACGCTACTCAATTTTAATATGTCGTTAATTCCCGTGGTGTCACAGTCACTTAAAGTATTAGATTAGACCATTAGTTATCTATACATGTAATAAAACTGTAAATTGCAGATGTCTGTACATTTTATACTTTTGTAACAAAACTGATTGAGAGCGACTAAACATATGTAACTGAATATATTTCTATCATGTTTAGAATTGTCTGTCTGTCTGTTTGTTTGTTAACGTATTTCGTCTTTGTTTTATTAAAATCGCTTCATCCTATCAAAAGTTTTGATTAATATTCTGAAGTATGGGTAAGAAATATATTAAGGTACGAATTCGTTCAATAGTGGCGTTGAGTGATCAAGGACATTTTGTAATTAAATAATGTCAAATAGTGTTCTATAATGATATAATTGTGTCTAAACACAGTAAACAAGAATAATAAAGAATAACGTAATAAATATTTATAAAAAATATATAAATCCTAATATCTTAGTTTAAAAAGTACCATAGTTAACCAATGTCATCGATAGATGGTGTTGTGCAAATTATTTATTAAATTTTAAGGTTTGCTTATAATTTTTTTCTTAACCGCCGAGTACCTACAATATGGTAAATCAAATTTTGAAAGAGCTATTAACAATTTTTTTTGTTTTGGCAAGGATCATATCAATCATATAGAAGCATGGCAGTAAACATATTATACTTCCCTTTAGCACTTCCAAAAGTTTTAAAATTTAAATTGTGAAATCGAAAAATTACGTTACCCGATTTTGAGTTTTTTATATTATTCCTACCAGTTCTTTTCTAAATATCATATAATTTTTATTTTACTGTAATAATAAATTAACTACGATAATTTTATATAGATGGCGCTACAAGTATTTTCAATGACCATAAGGTTTCATTATTAACGAGATATGAAGGATGCATAATATGTAAATTATTACTTTGCTTGCTGCTTTCAACGCAATGTTTGTATTGGACCAGCAAAATATGTTTCTTCCTTTTATCCAATAACCGTTACAGCATTTTAAAGTTCACTGCTGAACATAGGCCTCCCTATTGATTGCCTCATATTTGGCATCATTGATTTATAATAACTCAATGTTTCGCATAGTTTCCAAGGTCAATTACGCACGCTTTACCCGATTACGGAACCGAAGAAGCGGGTTCTATATTATAATATACAGCCCATATAATATGATCCACGGCTGAGTATATGCGTTCAAGGAAGTGACCATAAGGTTTCATTATTAACATAATATAAAAAGGGTGTCATTAAATATATATACATTAAATATACTCAATATCTCATACTTCTTGGAGCGAGGAATTGTCCATAGTGCCGTCCTGACGCATTTGTTCTCTTTAGTTTGAAATTTGGAATTAATAATAAAGTGCATATTATTAATTTATGTTTTTGACAGTAAATATCTAACTCCAAAGCTACAAACAAAGAGAAACACGAAGTGCTCTGTGGAGAACCTACGGTGCGGTGCTGCCCATTGGTGCGGCTAGGGCTACGAGGGCGACACTGGAAGTTTTCAGAACTGGCCACTTGTAAACGATATAATAAAAAATAGGTTCAAATTTTGAAAATGGAACTCTTTGCCAATATTATTGTGTATGTACATACATACATAACATACATAAACACTCACGCCTGTCACCCAGAGGTGTAGGCAGAGACTACGGACTTCCATTTGGCTCGACCCTGACATACCCCTTTCGCCTCCTCTACATCCATTTATCTACATACATGCTCGTCGGTTAAGGGTACTTCTCATTTGGCCCATTTTCAAAATATCGCCAATTTGGTCGATAAACTTTCTTCTAGGGCGTCGCTTCCCGACTCTGCCGTTTACATCTGCCACATAAATTTGCTTTGTCACTCTTTCCTCATTCATTCTTTCTACATGACCAAACCACCGAAGCATTCATTTCTTAATCCTGGTCACAACATCATCTTGCATACCACATCTATCTCTTATCACGCAATTTCTTACCCTGTCATTCAGATTCAACACTAGCATACTCCTTAAAGACCGCATTTCTACAGCATTTATTCTACTTTCATGCTTTTTCTGCCACACCCAACTTTCACTACCATACATTAAAGTAGGGACTAACACAGCATTATGAATTACCATACGTGCCTTTTTTAACACATTCTGATTCTTCATAGTAGAGTGTAGTGCCCCATTCACTCTATTCCCTGCATTTACTCGTCGTTCTATATCCTTATCATATCTACCATCCCTGCTAAATACACATCCCAAATACACGAACTCATCCACTTGCTCACTTAAGTCACCTTCTATTCTTATTTCACATAGCGTTTTACTTTCTTCTCTTTCAGCAAACACCTGTCCGTAAATAGGTTGAACAGCCACGGGGAAGCTACACAGACCTGTCGGACACCTTTATGGATGTCAAACCAGTCCGAGTAGACCCCGTTGATCCTAACACAAGCACTAGAGTCCCTATAAAGAGACTTTAATGCCTGTATCAAACCAGCGCTCAACCCATATGAGTTCAGTGTTTGCCATAACACAGTCCTGTCCACTCTGTCATAAGCCTTTTCAAAGTCCACGAACGCACAAAAAATTTTCTGGTTTTTGGCTAAAAACTTCTCCGCGATCATGCGCATGGAAAAGACTTGATCTGTACACCCCACTCCCTTTCTAAATCCCGCTTGCACATCCCAAATTTTTCCATCAGTTTCTTTCATAACTCTTTCAATTAACACCTTAGCATACAGTTTACCCACAATACTAAGCAAGCTGATGGAGTTTTGTCTGCTTTACCTTTTCTTTATGGTACCATAACTGCTTTACACCAGTCATCCGGTACCCGTTTTAATTCCCAACATATATTAAACAAGGTGTACAGCAGGCCTGCCACCACTCCCTCTCCAGCCCTTAGCAACTCGAGTGATACTCTATCATATCCAGCTGCCTTACCTGCTTTCATGCTTTTCATTGCTTTCATTATTTCATCTACACTTATCGCCATACCCCTTTCCACTTCTTTCGGAATTTCTTGTTCATTTAATTCAGACGACTCACTCATAAACACGCTTTCAAAGAATTCCTTCCATCTGTTTAAATGCGAAATTATGTATTGTGTTATTAATTAATTAAAATAATTGCGAAATATATTGTGTATTTATCCTATACCTTTAAATGAGTAATTCTTGTATATATATACAAGAATTCCAACGATTCCAACGAGAGGCTCCAACGATTTTCATAAAATTTAATGTCCAGGGATTTTCGGGGGAAATCAATCGATCTAGCTAGGTTTTATTTTTAGAAAATGTCCTTTTGTCCGTGTTTTCAGGCAATAAAAAAACTGCTACAATATAAGAAGGTAAATTTTGACATATCACTAACGATCGGGCGTGATATCGGAGTTCCGTGGTTCGCGTCCTGTCTCTAGCCGGCTTTTTTCCTTTTTTTTTTCAAGTTCCCTTCTTTTGTGAGAAAATCTATTATTTCAAGCCCTTTTTTTTAGTATTTTTTAAAAATACGAAAATTTTAATAAAACTAATTGCACTCATGATTTTTTATTCAAATAACCAGTTCAGTTTTTTCTATTCTGTCAATAAGATCAAAAAATATTATTTATGTTTCATCAGTATGTAATTTATAAATCGGTCATCCGGATACTTTCAGTAATTTGCCATTTGTTTACCATTTGGCGGAAAATTGAAACTTGTCTGTGTCACGTCAGTATGAATTAGAAAGAGGACGGACTAAGGACGAGTGGGCAAAGTGCCTTTCTCAGAGGTGCATGTAAACTGCTACTACTTTGAAAAGATATAATAAAACTAATAACTTTCTAGTTTCTTTAGTTTTTGATTTTATAAGAACTTTCAGTATCACCCTCGTAGGTACTTTTCGAGATTTCGTCACATTGGAATAGTAAATATTAAGTATATTCTATGATTACGAAAATATGACTTCCAGAGATAAGTGTAAGATTTTTTAAATTTATTAACTAATTTTAATAATGTCATTTACCAATTCTAATCTAACGAAACCAGATTTTGTAAAGTTCTAAATTACGTAAATATAATTTTTCATACGCAGATTTTTTTATTTTTGTACGCATGAATTTGTAATTTTTTGAGACAAATAAAGACTTTTATTATTATTATTATTATATGGCAAGAGCGATAGACAACTGTGCTTGCCTCGCATATACACCTGTAGATATTTGATAGGTCTAATACTATTTTTTTTTAAAAACTGCTTTTTTGTATTTAGAGACTATGAGATCTCGCACCACCTTATAACTTTGCTAGGGCCGCCATTGACTATGGTCCAAGTGAACGGTGAAACTTACCTGTCAACTCGGCCATTTCATTTTGCGACATCACTGGCGGATTTTGAGAGGCCTGAAATGATATTTTTTTTTCTATGAAAATCATCTTCAGCAACCTATAGAAACTATAATAGAGTAGAATTGATTTTCCTCAATTGTAGCGATCCGCCCCGGTCTCGCACGGGTGATTTCTGGATCTCGACAACAGCACCATCTACCTCGAGACATTGTGCTATGGACATAATCTAAATAAACTAATCCGGCTGTCTCGACAAAAGGAGCCCTCTAATCATTTTTATAAAATAAGCTGCAGGGCGTAGTCTCCTTGCTAGATTTTTTTATAGTATAGGGTGTAGAGCAGTGGTAGAGCCAGGCGGTAGCTTTGCTGCGGTAGCTGCACGTATAGGCTGGCTCAAACCGGGGTGGTACCACGACCTCACAGTCAATCTTTACAATTAAAGAGAGTGGATCGATCAAAACGCCTTCTGTGGCGATACGCAGGTGAAGGGCACAGAAATATCCTCTTTACCGATGAAAAAATGTTCACGACTGAAGAGCACTACAATAAGCAAAATGATAAAGTTACGCTCATAGTTCCTAAGAAGCTGCTCAAGTGGTAAAAAAGGTACAACGTGGTCATCATCCTGCGTCAGTTATGTTTGTCATTGCATCATAAAGCTACATTTTTGTGAAAAAGGAGCGAAAACTTCGGCCAAAGTGTATCAAGATACAGTCTTGGATCGTGTTGTGAAACCTTTCAGCAATACACTTTTTAAAAATGTACCGTGGACTTTCCAGCAGGAGTCTGCACCTGGTCACAAGGCACGAAATACCCAAGCCTGACTTGAAACCAATGTTCCGGACTTTATAAGAGCTGAAGACTGGCCTTCATCTAGCCCAGACCTCAACCTTTTAGACTACAAATTATGGTCAGTTTTAGAGGTCATGGCTTGCTCTAAACGACACGGCGACATTGAGTCTCTTAAAAAAATCTCTCGAGCAAGCAGAAGCGAAATTTCCCATGGATACAGTGCGTAAATGCATAGATTCGTGACCAGACAGATTAAAGGCCTGTATATAAGCTAAAAGTGGCCATTTTGAATAGAATACTGTTTTTATTTTTTGCTGAGACTAATAAATAGGAACATATAAGTTTTAGTAATATTATATTACTTCATCAAAAAAATGCATTTTCGTTTGTAACAGAACTTATGGCCGGACTAGGTATACTTACGATAGCCTCGTGACTGGATTTGAGGTTATCCTTCCTGTAGGACCTGGCCACCAGCTTGTGGAAGGGTGTCTCTACCCAGCCCATCTTGATGGTTTCCGATAACGTGGAAGCCAAGTGGTCTTCATCTATGTCGGCGCTTTGGAAGCCTGGAGCTTGGTAGTCCATCGGTGCGTCTGAATGTAAATTTGAAGATTTGACTGATGAGTAAAAACAGTCCACCTGTCAGTTAGTGGATTGTTTTAAATATACTTATAATGACAAACGAGCACACAGTGCACCCGATGATAAGTGGATGCTGTAGTCCATACACCTATATCTGTTCTCGATTAAAAATAAAAATGCATCTCGCCAAGGGCGCAAAGACATTGTCACTTCTAATGACTAAAGAGGAATCTTTAAAAACCTTAACGGTGTTGTGGCGGTGTAAAAATATCCACTACCCTATACAAACTCGCCTGATAAGCATGGCAGGTATGGCAAATATTACCTCCCTATGGATGCGCCCACCTATGACGGAGGGAGGCTGTAGCAGTAACAGTATAGCTTTACAATCTCTGGAGCTAGACCAGAGATACGGGGGCTCACAAATCATCCAGACACCAAGGAGACCCACAATTAATTTTTCTATACAAATGTTGATGAAACTTCCAGCTGCGTGCCGTGGTAGCTCAGAATCTAACCGCTCGCCATAAATGTCACAGTACATAAGCAACCCGGCTTGAATTCTTGCTAGCACCAATGAATTTGCTAAATGTAATTTTAAGAGCTGATTTGCCACGTGCTCATCGGTGAAGGAAAGCAATATTTGTGTCACCCGCACTGATGCAGCAAGGCGCACTAATGAGGGATTCATAGTCATCCACTCACTACATGTCGCTAGTTGACACTGAGGAATTTTTTTGTTACACAATGTCATTTAATGCAGATGTTAGTTTTAAATAATAGTTTATCAATTTCTAGAGTATCCTATTAATAAACAAAACAATGCCTCAGTGGTTTGCTCTTTAATTTTTTGCTTTTTAATTGTGTTTTGGTTTATTTATTTTCAATCTAATTAATATAAAATATAACTAATAGTACAGAAAGAAACATTAACCTTTACATTTTTCAAATAAACTAGCTTGCCAGGCAGACGTTGTTCTGCCCTTTTCGACGGCTCTGTCATGTAATAAACATCCTTAAATTCGCAAAAAAAATTATTATGGGTCACTCAGGGGCATAAAAACTATCCTATCTCTCAAGTTGGACCAATCTGTACACGGTGTGCAAATTTGATTAAAATCGGTTAAGTAGTTTAGGAGTCCATCGCGGACAAACAACGTGACACGTAATTTATATATATTAGGATTAACTTTCCTTCTAAGAAATCTGTCAAATATTACAATCTCATTTTAAATGGCGCCGCCCTGGCGGCAGAAAAAGTCGTGGAGGAAAAGTCATTGACCTTCGCAGTTATAAGAGGTCTACACCCAGTTGTGGGATGTATAGTCTGTACCCTTACTTTAATTTAATACCAATAATAATTGTTCTGCGCGCGAGGCAAACTCGCAACCAGCAGTGCCAAAAAAGCGCGGCCATGATGTACGTAAAGTAATACAAATAAAACACTTACCCTCGTTATAGTAGAGGCGCACGCTGATTTCATAACTCGGCGGTAGTAGCTGCTGACAGGACTCCATTATGACTACGCAGGCCCTCATCATGTGGATAGTCCTCTCCTTGACGTCATCGAACGTGCATTTAAAAGTTTGCGTGGAGCTGTTCCGACCTTTGGAGTGTATGTTCATGGTAACCCCATCACCTTTGTAAGAGTACTCGAAGATATGGTACTCTATTAGATTCTCTATCTCGCACTTATCTTCATAGAAACATAACGCGAGTTTGTGAAGCTGGAAGATGTTAGATGGAAACCTAATACTTGTTAAATTAAAAAAGGGACCTGGCAGTCAAAACAACAACAACAAAATAATACGCGCTTTACATTAGTAATAATTATAATCCCGCTTGTGGCAAGCTGTTGGTGAGTGCCGACACCACGGGCCATAACCGAGTTCTCCCGGAAAATTTTCCACCTTTGGCTTGCCTTGGTCGGCCGGTTCTCTACACTCATCATACGAAACACAGCAGCATAGAGCTGCTATTTTACGCTGGTATTCTGTGAGACCTTTCTCTACACCCTTAGCTATTTAAACCAATATTACAGTCAGTTAAGATTGCAGTGTAAGGTGCTAATATATTAAGCGGTTAGTCACCACCTGCTTTTTATCCATTGAGACACGATACGTAGGTCACTCAAAAAATTTTTAGATGCTCGAAATTTAAAAATGGAACGCACTCGTGTTATATGTATGTTTCTAAAAAGCAAATTTATTTAAAAATAGAACTATATAAACCAATTGCTCAATATTTAAAAAAAAAAACAAAGTTCTATTAACTTTCCTGCAACCCTTCCCGCGCTTTTCAATTAAAACTATGGATCTTAACCGTGAACATTTGATCTATTATGATTTTAAATTTGTTTTAACCGAACAATAAAGTTTACAACGGTTACAATCAGCATCAGGGGATTCAGCTCCATCACGCGCAACAATTTTTGGTGGTTTTCTGAATTCAAAAGGGGTAAATTGAACTTTAAAGATGACCAAACAACCGGGGCTCCGCAAACAGCAGTAACGGCAGAAAATGTATGGAATACTGAAATGTTGGTGCGAGAGGACTCACGAACCACATATACGGACATCGAAAAGATTGTAGTTCGGGGAGCATTCATACCATCCTACATCAACATGTTGGAGTGAAGGTTTGTTGTCGATGGATCCCTCGTTTGCTCTCCGAAAGCGAAGCGAAGCGGAACAGACTCGTGTGGATTGGTGCCATGAAATGCGTCTACGTTTTGAAAACGGGGCATCTAGGCGTATTTCAGAAATCGTTACTGGTGACGTGACATGGATCTATCAATATGATCCGGAAAATAAAAGGCAATTATCGATATGGGTCCACTCAGAAGGACACTTACCGACAAAACTGCAAAGACCTCGCAACGTCGGCACAAAAATGGGGGCTAGTTTTTTTCGCGGAGCGGACATTTGTCGACATCAATGCAAGAAAATTGTAGGTCAGTCAACTCTGAATGGTATACTACAGTTGCATTACCCAAAGCTTTTCAAGTTGTGCGGGAGAGAAAACCAGGCATCTCTTAGAACAAAAGCATTTATTGAGGAATCTGGTGTTGAAACTCTAAGTCACTCACTCTACAGCCCTGACTAGCTAATCTGAGCCCTGAGGAGCTAATCCTTGTAATTTCTTTTTGTTCCCAATAGTCAAAGAAAAAAATAAAAGGCAAGTTTTTTTTCAAGCGCCAAAGAAGCCGTGGCTTCCTACGAAGAAGCGATTTCCGACCTGTCAGATCAAGACTAGCAAAAGTGTTTTCAAAGTTGGTTTAGACGAATGCAACTTTATATAGAGCATGATGGAGAATATTTTGAAAAGATGTAAAATAAATATGAATAGTATCTAGGGGTGTAATACTTTTTGTATATCTCAAAACTTATGAGTGTCCTACGTAACGGCAGGTATACCGAGTCTCTCCTCAATAGCCCTGTATACCAATCAATGGAGTATCCCGAGCTCATAGCCCAATATTTTTAAGATAATTAATAGAATTAGACGTTGATATGCGGAAATCCATTTTACCTATTAAAGTTGTTAAGAATTAATTCGCACACATCCGCTCAATAAAATAAAATGATGTGTCTTACCTAGTTTGAAGAGAACCTCGCGCCTTCCCTCAATTGCGTGCACTAATCCCGTCACCGCTACTCCCAACACCACTACGCTAGGAAAGACAAACCATCGACGATAGTACTATACGTGTTTCGCTTCTACACGGGGCATCCTCAGGTAATGTAGAATGTAGACGGTAGCTGAACCCTAAGTGAGCGGCGAGCCAAAACAGCTGCCATTTATACAAATCGTTGGCGCAACTGCTCCCCATTAAAGTAGCGAGCGACCGCATCAAGCGACAAAACATGCGACCAACCACCACCTAACGTACGCAGGCGTTTGTTTTAAAATAATAAACAATAAACAGCCGCGAAACGTCGGCCTACCCTACTAAGCAACGAATCGCTGATCACCGCGAGGGTGATGAACGACCATATTGCGAGGCTGTCTTTTATTAGAGAGCTGGCTTAAAGATGTTTAATAGAGTGAGATAGAAACATTTGTTTGTTCATTCAGCAGTGCAACGTTACCATTATAATTTTTTTTAAATCTCTAACTGTTCCAGCACACAGTCGCAGCCCTTTGTTACAAGTATGTAAGACTTTAAAGGAGTGGACGTGGAGGTTGTGTCCAGTGTCCAAGAGATGTTTAGCAAAAAGGGATTTATCAGGATTGCAATTTAAATGCTCTTTATAACGTGTCCCGAAGTTGCGACCAGTCTAACCCACGTAAACGGCTTGGCATTCGTCACAAACAAGTTTATAAATACCCGATTTTAGACTAATATCCAATTTATCTTAATTATTACAGATATTCCTAAGAGAATTGTTTGTTTTGAATGCCACGTTAACGTCGTTCTGGCGAAGGGTATAAGCTTAGCTAGCTATAGTAGTGGTGTTGGGTTTAGTGGTGCTGGGATAAGAGGTGACGAGATTAGTGCACTGAGGGAGGGCGGAAGGAGCTCTTCAAACTAGGTAAGACACATCATTTTATTTTATTGAGCGGATGTGTGCGAACTAATTCTCAACAACTTCAATATTTTTAAACACATTCCCTTTTTTGCCATTTCTTTCTGCATGTTCTGGGGCTCTGCTACGGATACATTTTTATTATGTATGCGGAGAGACACCTACAACGTACAACACATTACATTAAAAAGTTTAATTAAATTCCCCAAAAAGCCTATGTGTGTTGGACCCATGTCTCCATGTTACGAGGCATACCATCCTGGTCCTCAAGGGTGTATCTGAATATGTATTGATTCACAAACTATGATAGATGTAGATGTACTTATATGTGCCACAGCATCCACTTACCATCCGGTTTTTTTTATAGGATAGGGTGACAAACGAGCACACAGTCCACCTTATGGTAAGTGGTTGCTGTGGCCCATAGACATCTACATGTATCCTCGATTACGAATCAAAATGCAGATGCGTTGTCACCCGTGAGGACTTAGATGGAAGGCCTCGTTTTCAGTAAAAAGGGTCTCCGGTTCTCTACACTCACCAAACGAAATTACATTAAGCTACTATTGACTGGTATTCTATGAGTGTGTGGTTCTTCCCCGGTTGAGCCGACCCATTCGTGCTACAACTATACTACTAATATAACTGCAGCATGGCTCTACCACGTAAAAAAATGAACGACTTGAACAGCATGCTCGTTTATCACCCTAATTAAAAAAAAACGCAAACGTTGCCGTGATAACTTGCAGGAGCGTAGTAAGCCGTGGTAACTAAGTGGCTAACCACACGCCATAAAATTCCAAAAAATGTATTGAAGCGCAAAAATGTCGTGAATCGACTTGCCAAGTATGACGATTTAAGGTCTTGGGCCCACTACAGCGGCTCGCACTATGAACGTAGCAATGAAAAAACACGGCTAGTACTAGAACGTATTGTACGTATTCAACTTGATAAAAACTAATTTTAGGATGTTATCATACTTAATTTTATGTTTCACACCCGTATATGACGCGTTTAGTAACCGTGTCATCCTCATTTAATAGTTTTGTATGACTACTGTGCTTTTTTTGACATATTATAAGCCAATGCCTCACTCCAAACCCACCTATTGGTAAGTGGTAATAAAGCAATAGAAGCTAAATCGCACTGTCTTAGCGAAACAAAAGTTACTCTTGTCATAAAGACGATTGTGATCGGACGAAAGGACAGGTGCCAGATGATCATTCCACTTCTTTGCTGAACGCATAATGAAAGACGAACCAAACCATTTGGTTCGAATGCGTGGAATATCGACAAAAATGGGTAAAGACCCACCGACCGCCTGGTTTTCCGATGGTAGAAGGGGAGGAAAGAATTAAGGCAAATCATTCCTGCGCACTTCTTCGTAATGTATCCTATAGAATACCGAGAAGAGGGCTACTCTGCACTTAAATACAGTTTTGTCAAGGAAATTGACTATTATGCTATGTGTAAATGAACCATACATTCCTTGTGGGAGGGGTGGACTTGAGAAGGGCTGTAATGGTAATGATGATGATGAAACAAACTATGCGCCACTAGGCATTGGTACATAGTTCATGTTGTAAATCGGATTACTCGTGTTTATTCGTAATATAATGCTTCATAGTGGACTTTGAGATCGGGGGCGTGCCCAAACTGAGGAAGTCATTCCTTATAGTGTATGGAGGTTAATGTATGAAGAGAGTAAAGTAAAGTAAAGTTACAGCCTATATACGTCCCACTGCTGGGCTCCTCATTTCTGAGAGGGTTTTAGGGCAAGGAAATGTCCGCCGTGCTGCCCCAATACATGTTGGCGAACTTCACATGTCTTAGAAATATTTTTTCTCTTATTCCTCAGACATGCAGGTTTCCTCGCGATGTTTTCCTTCACCGCCAAGCACGTGGTAAATCAGCACTTAAAATTGCAATTAACAATTTCTTTGGAGCCAGCGGGGATCGAACCCGGGTTACTCGCGTTCTGTTATATTTACAGCGAGCGTTAACCATCTGAGTTAACATGGCTCTTTCTATGAAGAGAGTATTTTCTTTTAAAGATATATTTTACATTACAAAATAAATAAAGTAAATAATAAAACAAAAAGTTAAATAAATTAAATAACAAATGTCATTGTCTCTTTTTTAACTATATAGTTATTCCATCTACTTAATAATTAAAATTCATCACAAATGTTGTATAAATATATATATATATATATATATATATATATATATATATATATATATATATATATATATATATATAGTATAGAAATACCAATAAAAATCTAGTAAATGCCAACCCTACTCAAATATAAAATCACATCATGAAAAAACTAGAAATAAATTTAATGAATTTCATTCTATTTTCTATATAGATATTCTACTCTACAAACATAAGCTATAATTTTATTACCTACCAGATACATTCATTCATTTTGATGATTCATTCATGACACTGATTGGGTGACTTATGTATGCACATAGGTAACATAAATCAATTAAAGATAAAACTAATAAATTTTACTAAAAGTTGTAATAATAAATATTAAAATCCTCCTGCACTCACAGCCCTTTTGGGCCAGGGGTCCCTCCCCGCTGTCGGGCTGTGGCATTTTGCTCGGCCTGCCACCCTACTGTTACACCACTGCTCAGAGAAAACAACATATACAAGTTGTCGGTGTTTCTACACTGTAGCAATAGTTATTTACAGTAAGGTGGCCTGTGGTGCTTAATTAAGGACTATATTATTATCCCTTTGGTTTAGCTTGTTTATTGTTAATGTTTTAAAAAAGAGGGTATATTGGTTCCACACTCACCAACGCATCTACATTTATCCAAGAGTGGATACTGGATTTAAAATGGCTTACAAAGAAAATAACAGATTATATAATTTTATGAATTGAAAACTTATTTTTTGTTGTGAAATGATAAATAGTCAACTGCCTGATTTGAAAATGGCTATGTCAAAAATATACATTAATTACTAGTAAACAAATACGTAAAATAAAATATCAAATAACTGTGTAAAGTCATCATACACCATACAGTAGATTTATTATTTATCACAGTATTTGATTATTTATATACTTACATATTTTTTATCAAACGCTTCAAATGCCTGTATCAAAGCGGTGCTTAAAAATTGAGCAGTTTCATCGCGGCATTTCTTCTTCAAAATTCTTATCTTAAGACCCCCAAAGGTTTCGACCATATAACTATCTTCAGGAAACACATTTTTAAGGTATGTTATGGTACTCATGGCCACTACCGTCAGTTGTTTCATGAATCTAACAGAACTTGTGTAAGATTCAGTAATATGTTTCGGAAATATTTTTGTCCACTCCGCCACTGCCTGTAATGTAAAAGTTAATGTATAGTCACTATCAAAAATAATATGTATCAAAGTTACTAGGACGGAGAGACTTGAGTTGTCGCTGAAGGCGTAGCCGTCATCGTAAATTATTTAAAATGAGGAAAAATACTCGTTATTTATTTGTAACTTTGCTATCAAACCGCATTTAAATTTTCTAAAAATTGTTAAGTTTATAATTTGTGGTTTTCCCGCGCCTCAGTTAGTGCACACGATAGTGTACCATAGATAAATAAATATGTAGCAAGCTAGTAGTGTACGTTAGTACTCTTTGGTACTCTTATTAGTTTGTGCGATATAAGATAGGTTTCTCTGTCTACGAGATAGTTACTAATCATAGACTACTAAGAGGATACTACGCATCCAATGTTTCAAAAAGAGAAGAGAAGAGAAAGGTTAGGGATCAGGAGAACGATCGCTGTATAAAATAATGTCCCAGAAATATGGACAAAATAAGTGAGGCGCTGCGATCGCTAAGTTGACTCAATAAAAGCGGACTGTTGTGCACTAGTTCGAAATAATTATAATATCATTCAAAGAAAAAAAAAGAAAATAACAAAATTATTATAATTTATTAATAAATAAATTATAAATTATGTTTTATATAATTTTAGTTATTATAAATTATTAGAAATATAAACTAGGTACTTATCGACGGCAGCGCGGCTATAAATTCTACAAATTTTCAGGGATGGGCGGGCTATGCTTTAGCACGTAGCGGTCGTTCTCCTTTTCTCTAACCTCCATAATCTGGAGCAAGCTATAAAATGTGGAGTGTAGAGGTAAGGAGTACACACTCTGTATTACGGAGTGTATAGGTAAGGAGTACAGACGCTATATTAAAAAGTGTCCGTAGGGAAGCGTTTAATACGGGTGGCGCTGTGGCCGTGGAAGGTAAAGGGGAGATCTCCCGCCGGGCAAGATGTTCTGCCCGGGGAGCAGCCAATACTCCATGTGATAGTTCGGAGATGTTCTATATATACTGTTTATGATTCGGAATGTTGACAGCGTGATTTAGGCTTCGGTATGTTTTCGTTTGCGGTGCGATGACAGCGCCGCCGCAGCGCCACTGTAGCTACAGTCTAAATTTTAAAGAACCTTTTATAATTCTTTTTACATTCATTATTTTATTGCTATCAATATTATTATTTTCTAAATCACTCTCAACATATTTTACGGCCATTTAACATACCCAGTTGCTACTCGAGCGCTGTAGTGGAGAGTTTTCGAACTGTTATTTACTGCTTACTGATGGACACTTTTTCAACTATTCTCCTATGGGAGTTGGTACTCCTTACTTCTACACTCCATACTCTGTATAAAAAGGTATCCGTAGAAAAGCAATAAATAAGGGTGGCGCCACTGTGGCTACAGTCTAAATTTTAAAAAACTTTTTATATTTTTTATTGCACAGACTTTCACCATAATTCTTTTTACAATAATTATGTTATTGCTTTCAAAATTTTTATTTTCAAAACCACTCAACGTAATTTTCGGCGATTTATCATACCCGGTAGCTAGTTTTTGAACTATTATTTACTGCTTACAGATGGACACATTTTCAACTATTCTTCTATGGGAGATTGTCCTCCTTACCTTTATACTCCATGCTATAAAAGTAACCCTAGATCATGGGGTTTGGCGAGAACTTGGCCATAGACTTATTGTCGCTCCAGTTTTAAATAATGCTTTAAAGTGGATATTGATTCGTAAAATTAATGCGATTTTATGAATTAAGTGCCCAACCGCGTTTCAGCACTCCGTCAAATCGTGATGAGCGATGGATGAGCTCGGTTCCGTCAGAGTGTCGTCACGCGGCCCTGTGTACATTGACTTTTAGCGACAGGAACGGCCTGTGTTTATTACTTAATATCTTCGTAATTAATGGTCCGATTTCAATAATTCAAAGAGATACATCATTTATATGTCATAATTAATAACGTGAACACTAGTTTTATTGAATTTTTTATAACTTTACTGATCCTCATTCTGGGGCAAAGATCAGTAAGTTACAGATAGGACATGATAGGTGGCCCCCCATAGTAGAATTACAAATTGTATTGAATCATCTAAGGTTTTCCCTAAAATGATTTTCTGTTCTACACTTGGTTTAATCTTTGAAGGCTTTGTTTCAATAACTCAGGAATTTCCCAAAATTTTTAGTACGTTTCTCTCGTCATATATATAGAGCGGGTGTTTTTTTTGTTTTTATTTTACTTCAAGCTATCACGCTGTGAGCTGTTACGCAATCATCAGGAAAATATGTATAGTTTTCAACAAAGTTATTTGGCTAAATAGGAGGAAATTCCAGAGTTTTCTTCGTGGCTTTTACGCTATAAAGACGACGAGTAGGCCGCCTTTTGTAAAACATGCAGTGCAAAACTCCAAAGTAGATTAGCATCTATAAAATAACATAAACATCGAAAAGCATAAATCAACCTTGAAAAAATATAAAGGACAGTTAAAGGTAAACATAACTTGTTATATTACCGTTGTGTTCTGACTTTACATGAGAAAGACATGTTACTTGGCGCTCTCAAATGTTTATTCCAAAGTGGAGAAAAGTTACCTTTTTTGTTAGAAATATATACTAAAACGTTCAGCAGACTGAGTGTTTTTGTGTAGTGTAATTTAAAAAAATAAAATTTAGAATGAAAAGGGGTGAAAACATTTATTCAGTGAATCTTGTGTAGGGTACTGTGACATTTAAATTATAACTTTGAAAGTGGAACACAAAAGAATATACTTTGATCTCATATGTTTGATCGCGTGTTCCTAGTGTGTACAAAACTATATGCTATTTTCACCCGTTACGACTAATGTATTGTCAGCGTAGTAGATAGTGCTCGTTATTCTCTGATTCGGGAAGACCCAAGTTCGAATCACAACGAATATTTTTTATTTTTTCCCCTTTTCCTTTTTTTTCTTTTCTATTATCTTTTTTATTGGAAATATCCTAAATTGAAAGTTAACATGGCAGCAAAAGGACACAAAAACCTTGTCTGGGGGTGTTGCTCGATTGCCCTGCAGGACCAGAACTATATTCAATGTACAGAATGTACCAAACTTTATCATCTTGAATGTCTGTATTGACAGACGTCAAGCAATGAAGACGATCCCACCACGTCTACGGGGCTGTGCCCTCAATGTCATGGAACGCAAAAAATGGGTAATAATGATAACACCCCCGTTCGCTACAACCCAAATATAACTGTGAGGCCGAGAAAGAGGCAAGATTTGAACTCCCCACCAAATACTTCAGATGAAAGGGCAATAACAAGGGACGAAATGCAAGAAATTATCAAGGATGTAGTGACTCAATTCCAAAATACAATGCGCATCACCATATCGAACATCCTAGGTACTTAACTAAAATATTTGAAGGAGGAAATAGTGGATATGTAGGAGTTCATGAATTTCATGAATACAAAATATGAATTTATCACAAAGGAGCATGCAGAGGCCAATGAAAAAATAAAACCCCTAGAGACAGAAAACGGTGTACTGCAGTCAAAGGTTGAGGACTTGTCTAATCAATTTAATCAAATGGAACAAAATGCTAGAATGAATAACATTGAGAACCAAAGTCTGCCCGAAAGGAAAGATAAGAACCTGTTTCACATCGTAACAGAACTAGGCAAAACAATAAATTGTCAAGTGTCTTTGGAACACTTAGCCCACTACACCCGTATTGCTAAACTACATAAGGACTCCAGCCGCCCCAGGTCTATTGTAGTGCAGTTTAACTCGCCGAGAATGAGGGACAAATTCTTGGCAGCAGCGATCAAATATAATAAACTGAAGCCTCAAGAAAGATTAAACAGTTCTCACGCTGGTGTTTCCGGTGCTAAAACTCCAATTTTTATATGTGAACATCTCTCCACCCACAACAAGGCCCTCCATGCAGCAGCAAGTCAGGTGGCAAAGGACAAAGGATATAAATATGTCTGAGTGAGAGGCGGTCGCATTTTCATAAGGAAGATTGAAGACTCCGAATTTAAAATCATCAGAAACATAGAGACACTTGACAAGTTGCCTTAGTTCTAAACCTAACTTTAATTTTAATGTTTTTTACAAAATTTTTAATGTACCTTATTTTATGTACCATACTATATATGAATATATTACCAAAACGTTCGTGGGTTTTGTATGAAAACTCACAACCTTTTAAGGGAAGTCAATTGTAATAATTATGATGTAATAGTTTTAACTGAAACCTGGCTTAATAGTAGCGTAATGAGCAATGAGTTATTGGATGACAGATACGAGACATACAGAAGAGACCAGGAAAGTACGGGGTTTCATGAGAATAAGGATGGGGAGGAGTCTTAGTTGCGGTACTAAAAACTATCAAATCGGTTCGGAAGTTTGAATGGGAAAGTAAATGTGAAGACACTTGGGTGTTTTTAGATTTGAAAATTGAAAACTCTATCCATCAAATAGCTCTTTGCGGTGTTTACTTACCACCTCCGGCTAATGTTGGAGTATTTTGTAGAAAATTGTACCTCAGTCATAAAAAGTAAATTTGATTCACACCTGTGCTTTATTGGTGATTTTAACTTAGGTAATATAAATTGGAGTACATGATTTGTCGAATAACTATGTTGCACCTAGTCCAAGCCAAGCATTGATAGATATAGTTCATCTTGACAAGCTTAATCAAATGAATAATATTCTTAACAAATCAGACCGCTTGTTAGATCTTGTACTGACCAACCTATCATCATCCATGTGTACAGTAGCAGGATCAGTTAATATTCTTAGTGTCGTAGATCCTCTACATCCCCCTCTCGAAATATTAATGAAAATAAATACTGATAGTGCACTACCGTATAATATCGAAACTAAAATACACAATTTTCACAGATCAGACCTTTGTTTAGCCGAATATGACTGGAATGAAATGTTTTATAACCTGAATGTTAATGAAATGACAAACTTATTTTATGATATAATTAATAATTTAATAAATAAATACGAACCCTACAAAAAAGAAGAAAAAAAAATTTAGGAGTAGGGGGGGGGGGGGGAAGGGGGGGGGGGGTGGTGGGGGGGGGGGAAAGAGGGAAATAAAAATTATTAAATGGGGAAAAAAGGAGGGGGGGTTGTAAATTTTAATAAAATAAAAAAAAAGAGGAGAGAGAATTTTTGGATAATGCCGGGGGAATTTCTTCTGGTTCTACTTTGTTTTCAGCTGGGTTTCGGTTGTCCTGTGCATTACAGCCTCGAACTAACTGCCCCTGTCCTATCCCTACCTTAGCAAGCATCAGATACTGAAGAGCATGAAGTCCCTGGACCATAATAACGGCCCAGGACCAGATTGTGTCCCTCCTTTATTCATTAAGGCATGTTCAAATGAGCTAGCGACGCCTATATACCAAATTTTTAAGAAGTCTCTTCAATCCGGCCTATTTCCCGATGTTTGGAAGTCCGCTAAAGTTGTTCCCATTCACAAGGCCGATAGCGTCGAGGTGGTAGGTAATTATAGGCCTATTTCAATACTGTCAACTTTAAGTAAAATATTTGAATCTCTTGTCTATCCTGTGCTGCAGAAGCACTTGAATCATTATCTTACTGAGTGGCCGCACGGTTTTGTTAGATTTAGGTACTGTACCAATCTGACCTTGTTTACCGAAACTTTGGTAGAAGCAGTAGATGACGGTAGGGATGTTGATGTAATATATACAGACCTTAGTAAAGCATTCTACAAAGTACCTCGTAATATTCTTATATCTAAATTGCTTGCA